TTCTCTTATTTTGAACTCATTGGAAAAACTTAAAAACTAAAAATATTTAACTAAAAACGTTTAATCTACGAGTATAATGGAATTTAAATATGTAAATTACCTAAAACAATAATACACATACATTTTTCTTCAAGCAACAGCAACATACAAATTGACATGAAATTGAAACTGTTGTCCGAAATATGAGTTGTGTTCAAGTTACTCGAAATAAAATGTTTAGTAATAATAATAATAAGAAAATAAAAGAAATCAATTTAACGTGAATGCTTTTCGCTTCGATATTTTAGGGACTTTAATTACAAAAATCATAGTAAGAAATTCAAACGTTTCAGTAAAAAATTATTGTCGATAAACATCAGTCATCGTAAATGAACTTCACTATATTTGAGTCTAGATATTTCTATGGTGAGGATTCGCTCTGGGCCTTTTGGAGGGGAAAGTGTCGTTTTTATTTTGACTTTCAATTATTTTGTGAAATCTAGTTTAAAGTGGAATAGGATAGTGCTATTGTGCTTTAATCGAAGATTAAAACGCGAAATTATACGAATCTCGAACTAAAATACCCGTATCGGTCCGTTCTAAGGAATCCCGAGTCAATCTAAGCACGCCATATCAAATTGCCTATCCTCTTTGTGGCGGCCATATTTACAGAAACATAATTAAACGAAGATATGGGTCAAAGGTCTTGTATCCAAGCCAAAATTATGAACAAAAAAGAAATCTATGGTGACAAAAAGAAAACATTGAATAATAATAGAAATAGTAACTAAAAATGCAAATAGCCGGTGGAATGTTATTTCACTGGTTAATTTTTGTTTTCACTCAAATTTTTACAAGGTGTATCGCTACAACTTGGCATTTTCACGTTTCACGAGAGATCTTGTATGTACTTCGATCGCCATGTCACTGTGGCGATGTTTGTAGGCGTATCGCCTCGATATGATCAAAATGATTGACGAAAATGAATGACGAAGCCGCTCGATTCCATATTTGCAAAACACAAATTTGTACCTTAATAATGAGAAAATATAGATGAATATGCTATAGGCGAAAAACATGACGCGTCGCAACGCTTCGAGTCTGCGCCAGTGTGAGTTGAGCCTTAGGCTGCGCCCGCGATAGTGGCGGAACGGCGAAATTCACTCGTGAGGTGCGAACACACAAAATATTCGCAGGTAGTTACGCACTAAGACCTTTAACACTTATTTGTTTAAGTTCGATGTAATAACACACTGTAATGCACTACAAAATGATAATTTGATAATTGGGAAAGTTATAATAGATTACGTTACAAATTTGAAATATTTACACTATAATGAAAAATTTTTATAGGAGCTCGTACAAAGACTGATCCACCAGATTACCGTTGCGGCAAAGATTAAAATTCTCTTTGGCATAGCTTCCAAAAAAAAGGATACTAACAGAGAGACGGTCGAGATACAATAACGGTATTATAATAATCTCATTTCCACTACGTCGGGAAATATGCCTTACATTTTTACAATTGACATATCTTGTACTCTTAATCTATTACGCCTCCGTATATTACCTCCGTACGGTGGCGTGAGGACGCTTCGGGCTTCGCCCTCCGCCGACCATTATGACTTTGTTTTAAAAGAATAAAAGAGCTCTTTAATGACGGCCATATTTAAAAAAATGCAAAAATATATTTTGACCACTAATTATTATCACACAATCCTAGAAATCTTGTCGTGCCAATTTTCAGCCCGAGCAAAGCACGCTTATTCAACAGCCATTTACATAAAAAAAAGAACGCGTGTATGGCGGCTTTATTGAAAACCGGCGGAAACAAAATTTTTAAAACAAATTATGATTGAAGTCATGCCATTTTCAGTCGAATCAGAAGAATTTTTTTTTGTACTGCCAAAAAAGTTTGTATGATAGCCATATTGAAAAGAGGCGAAAAATAAATGTTGACTGCAAATTATTATTAAACACTTATAGAGATCCCGACATTGACATTCCGATTTTCAGTCAAATTTGAGCAAATTTTTATCTGTCGCTAAAAAAGTTTGTGTGGCAGCCGTATTGAAAAAAGGCGAAAAATAAATTTTGAGCGCAAATTATTATCTATAATAATACCTGTGGACCAGACCCCACGCTGATTTTCGGTTGAATTAAAGCAATTTGTACAAACGTTTGTATGGCGGCCAAATTGAAAAATGGCGAAAGATTAATGTTGATCTTAAGTTATTATCTAGCACTCCTAGAGACCCCCCACATGCCAATTTTCAAAGGGATCAGACCAACTGACACAAAAACGCTTCTATGGCGGCCATATTTGAAAATAGCCAAATTGTGACCACAAATTATTATCCGGTACTTGACCACAAATTATTATGGCAGCCATATTAAAAAATGGCGGTAATAAAATTTGACCCCAAATTACATTGACTTACAATTATATGGACGTCGGGTCCGCGCTAAAAAGTGTCCGCACTTGTAAGGCGCTAAAATCGTATACAGAGCGCGACACTCCGCTTTAGTCTTCATTTGTTCTACTGACAGCGCGATACTGCGATGACATTACAATTTAAATTTCGAATAGGTTGACTTGGGACATTTTTTTCGTGGTTTTTGTATTAGACCCGTCGTCCATTTATTTGTAAGTCAATGCCAAATTATGATTAAGAACACCCAAACACCCGTACCAATTTCCAGCCGGATCGAAGCAAGTTTTTCTTTGACCGTCATTTTGAATTCGTCATCTTGAATTTTATGCAGCACCTCCTATCTGTCTCTAATAGTTTCCGTGATAGGAAGCTTTGAAATTTGTATGGAAGCCATCTTGTTTATTTGAATTTGAACATTTTTTACTTCCTGCGGAAATTGACCAGGATATACCTCATAAAAATTGCCAAATATTCCCTCTATATATTATAGTTTTTGCAGGCCGTTGATCACTCTTTCACATTTTCCACATTAAGGCCTTGTCATATTTAATTCTTTGCTTTGGAGCCTATATGCGTACAACTGTATAAATATCTTTTTTCTACCATATCGGGAAGTACGCCTTCTACTTCTATCAGTCAGTAAGAACTTGTAGATAATAAATTATATAAAATAAAAAAATAAATATGAAAAAGTTTTTTATTTAATCAAATTAGCAGCCTGTTACAATTATAATGTACTTAATACTAGTCAGTGTTAAGGCCAATCACAGATTTTCTGGATTACAAATAATTTAGTCGTAATAAACAGATTGTGTCGCATTGACTAACAGACAAGTGCGTATCAGGCAATGTTAAATATGAAATAATAAGAAAAAGAAAAGGACTTAACACTAATGCGTGTCATAAAATCCAGCAACCTACTATAAGAGCTATAATAAACTCTACCCTTCCTCCTTAAAATAAATTATAAATAAATAACGCACACACTCAACATATACTATATATATGATACTTAATAACTGTATATTTGGGTCTTAAATGAGATAGTAAGGTTCACAGGTGCATCTCACTCGAACTTGTACGAAAAACAATGATAGTCCACTAATGAACTGAACGAGAGCTCACACGTCTTCCGAGAAGTGTGGCTACAAAACAAGGGTCTTGAGCATTCAAAAGCGCTGATAGCTGCCTACGGTGCCAAACACTGTAGAGAAGCTCAGTCCTTGGACAGAAATGGCATCACAGTGCTCACTTGTCTTAACAGAACACAGTGGCAAGAACAAGCACATGTCATTGGTCAGAGAGAGAAAAGAGAATGTAAATTCTGCCACGAGACGGACTAAGCTCCATCTTCTCACCCTTGATGGGCGTACAAAGCTCCATACTGGGAAGGCACATGCCACAACCAGAGGACATTAAAACTATCGGAGCCAGGAAAGTCCTTCAGTTCTTCAATGCTGTCGGTCTTGGCTCCGAACTGTAATTAGTGGTGATCACAATAGCCCAGCTGATGGTCGCAGTGACGAGGGGTTACATATGCCGCGAATGAAGCCACGCTAATAATAATAATAATAATAGTTCACTAATTGTCTCGTTCGCGCTGTCTTGCCTTGTGACCTAAAAGAACTAAAAAGACAGGTGAATTATTAAAACATGTAAAAGGAACTAATTCCTTTCAATCAGTATCAGGAATTCATTCCTAACTATTCCCAGTTCATGAACTACTCAAGCCTATTTATTGGTGTTATTTTTGTGGCTTTTGTAAGTCATTTATATGAAATTATTTCTTAAACTAAATAAAGGCAATGTCAAATCAAAGCCACCATCCAAATTGTAATATTATCACCGTGATAATTTTACAATTTGGATAAAAAAATAGAATATGTCGCACCCTTAGTAATATAAGGGCACAATCCAAAAAAAGTAGATTTTTGGGAAATTTGGGAATTGATAGGGACTTAAATAATAAATGGGATCAAACTTATATAGCTCCATATTTCTGTTATATTTTTTGTACTATATGGGTCTAACTTGAAAGTGTTTTTTTAACTTGCTTGAAACTTATGGAATTTATTTATATTATTTTTTTTATTGCTATTTATAATACATTTATCAAAGAACAAATCTGCCAAATTTCATATTTATAACTTAAATAATAAGCATGTTATTTGAAAAAATAGATGTAATGTAGGAATCTAGAATCTATACGCGATTTCCCAAAAATCTACTTTTTTTGGATTGTGCCCTTATATTACTAAGGGTGCGATGTGTTTATTTCAATGTTTCAGTACGAAAATATTTACTTGGTTTTGGCATCATAAAGTGATCTAAACAATGTTTGCAGTCATAACCACGTGTATACACGTAGTCGAATATGTGTGTAGTCATTGCCACGCATGTACACGTGGTTACAAACCCCGCAATGCACGTATATTTATCATGTTCATGTTTTTAAAATAAATATCTATTACAATCAGTCGCCCAACTACAAGGCAATTTGTTGAATCATGTTCATGTTCAAATTGGTTAACATTAACAATGTATTAATAAGATAATGGATGACTTAATAGTAATATGAAATTTCAGTTATGGTGCATTGCAACAAAAGAGGTTCAGAAGCTCTACTTGGAGATTGTTCACATATATTTAAGTATGAACAAGGTGAGAAAGTTTTATTATTATTAAACAAACAGGTATCTGGTGCTGAAAATATATGAAGTCCTCAACCCTTTCCTTAACGGAGACCCGTGCACAGCAGTGGCATCTTTTTTTTTTTTTTTTATTATTGTGACTCGGCAAAATGACTGCACCGCGCCTGATGGAAAGTGCGAATACAGTCCAGAGATGAGAGTAACGGATGGAAAACACAAATATCTTCACTCCGTCACTATCATTTTGCCGGCCTGGCATCTAACATTTCAGAAACAATTTGGGGCGTTATATGGACTATTGCAATGATTTATTGTTTTCAAATATTAAAATACATCGACCCCTCCTACTTAAAGTATCGTATGTCGAAATTGCCAAGTTTACAGGGGAGCGTTTTAAAGTTCTGAATTCAATGAAAGAGTGATCACCATAGATCATCTAATCGGTATCTAGGATTTTATAATACTCTATGTGAGTAATGAGCTTTGCCGAATAAAACTGAGAAATGCTAAAGACACGTGTTATGTTCGTTTCAGTGAATTCAGAACTTTAAAACGCTTCCCTGTAAACTTGGCAATTTCGACATACGATACTTTACGTCTGAGGGGTCGACATATTCATTTTAGATGACGTATTTAAATATTGTAAGTATTCATTAAAAAGTGTTATCTTAGGTGGAGCAGCACATCTGGGAGGTGTCCTATTATCGACTCTGCGGAATAAACCAGATGGCACATTTGACCTTAAAGAGATGGAGAGCCGCATCCGAGGATTTGATATTCACGAGCCTGTCACCAACTTGGTTGCTGTTGAAAATACCCATAATTACTGTGGTGGAAAGGTACAGTCGATGCTAGGGCATGATACCTAACCGTAACCGACCATATGGTTCTGAGTAGTTAAGTGGGAAATGTTAAACAAACTTGTCCTTTAAAACCAGTGAGCATTGTGATTCAAAACATTTTAGTGTGACTTCCTTATTGCACCATTACCTTGGACCAATAACTCCAGGGGACTGCGATCTCTATATTACAGATCGTTATTCTGAGAAAGTTCAAAATTCTGTGTTATTTATTTATTTATTGACACCAGTGTTGCCAGACTTTTGCGAAGTTAATTCGCCAATTTATGTGTGGTAAGTAGCCGATATTCGCCCAAGCCATAAAATCTCTAAAAATCAAGGAAACAATTCTAAAATTCTGCTTGCTGCCGGAAATTGGGGAATATGAACTCTCTTATTTCTCCAATTCCCCACACGTAGAAATATTCAAACCCCCAAGTGAGTAGTTTTACAACTCCATTCCCCACAAAATCCCCAATCAAGTTTGTAATTCCCCAGACGTTTTATTAAGTAGCCTAAAGACGCCTTTTCATGTTTCGAACATAGCATAAATGTCGCCGAGTCGCCGATCACTTTTTTAGTCGCCGCACAACCCCTCAAAGTAGCCTAATCGGCGAAAAATCGCCTAATCTGGCATCACTGATTGCCACAACTACAGAATACAAAGCGATACTGCTAAACGTAATGCATGGAAAACCGTAAATAAATCTGCATTCCGTATTCAATCTGCATTGCATGTGCGCAGAGCATTATCACATTATTCAACACGGCAGAAAAAAAGATTAAACAATGACAATACAAAAATACATGATAAGAGAGAGAAGAGAAATACATGATAAGATTAAATTGTAATAAGTTACTTGCTGATACGAACAAAACAACCAAATTACGAATGTAACGAAGTAACGGTCACTACTTAAAAATGTACAAAACAATAAGCTTACATTATATTAATATTGCAACATTTTTAAAACACGAAATAACTTTGAGAACATATCGCACTGCTATTACAATAGTGTTATAACTCAAAATATGTGAAATTCAAGATTATACCATTATTGAACGTAAAATTTGATTCTCTACACGTCAATAAAACCGTAGTTAGAATATTGTAAAAAACAACTAAAAGACATCTACTTAACTCGAAATGAGACACGCTTTGTGTGAGCTAGTTCTGGCCAAAATAGTCCTTATTCAAAAATAGGACGTTATTTTTTCTCTTTTATTTTTAAATATATTTGGCAAATAGGAAATGGTCTGTAATATACTAAAACCTACACATACATTTTAATCATATTTCACGGGAAGCGAGTAATTCGTTTTTCGTCGATTCTGAGAAAATACACTTTTTGAGTTAATACACTACTGTATTAACTGTGCGATATGTCCAAACTCATGTCCTTGTTGATTTTATTGTAGACTCGACATATACGGAACAGAGGGTCGTTGTAGGTAACGTTATTAGTATAACACGGAACATGAAAACAGACTGTGTGTGTTTACTTCCAACACTCAAAGAGAAGTGGCTTGACAATTCGCATACGTCCTTCGTTTTTATTATTTTATACATGACAACCAGATCATTAAGGACACGCCGTGACTACAGCGTCCAGAGACTGAAATGCTCCAACCTTTCCTCATAAGTGAGAAGCTTACGTCACATGCCGAATTTGGAACTTACGTATCGGAGAAAACGCTTCTGCACGACTTCAATTCTATTAATGTGAATAAGGTAGAAAGGGGACCACATTACCAAACTTTATTCCATCACATTCCTAATCAAAGCAAAATGTAAACAAAACGCTGTCCGGCTTTTTAAATGGCTTTACCTAGATTGCGCTCACAATAGCTTGAAAGTTAATGATTACCACTAATTTCAGGTTTCTTACCACGGTATGACTTCTTTTTATTTTCCTGATATTTCGGAACGGTGGCACGCTCCATGGTCAAAGAATTCATACCGTTGTGGAGGTGCTGCTGATGCTGGGGGCCTTCAGGTGGATTGTAATGGTGTGTAGCCTGGATAGCAGTAGGTAATAGCCTTCGCAGCCTCGCAGCCTCCAACGTCTTATTTAGTAATTCAAACGTTGAAAGTCCAGTTTATAGATATTTAATCGGTTTTAACAAATATACTCTTTAAAATGTAAACTGTATAAATATAGCTAGTAAACGATTCAAAAAGATAAATAATGGTATGTTCGCTACCGCGGTCGCGCAGAGAGTGACGATGGAAAGAATCAAAATCAGAATGCGAGGTAAAATGGAACAATTTTAAATTTAAATGTGAGTAGAAGAAGAAAAAACGATACGCTACGAATGGAGAGAGGCGATACAAAAAGGTGGGATGACGGTATAAGGAGGTCACACCGTCACACCGTAGTAAGAAGCCTGATATTAGTGTATAACACGAAAGCCTTAAAATCTATATAGCTTGAAAGTAGTTTATACATATAATGTTAATGGCCGTGGATATGAATTAATTCCTCTTTAATATGAAATATAAAGAAGTCATAGGCAATGAAACAATTTTTCCGGATTTAAAGATAAAGATAAATTTATTCTGTATAATAATTTAACCTAAATACATGAATCTTATTAAATAACCTTTTATTTACATATATGCGCCAGACTATCGCAAACAGTGATATTATTGTACGTAACTTTAATTAAGGTTAATAGTGCAAGATAATCTAGGTGATACCTAAACTAAGTACAAGTAAGCAATTTTAAATTGCTTACTTGTAACTGGTACCTATTTAAATCACGTATATTTGTTTTTTCAAACAAACCGACGTTTCGAATTCTTTACAGGTCCCATAGTCACGGTTGATGGTATACGCGATTCAAATCCGGAAAAATAGTCTCATTTCCTATGTGTAACAATCGTTAAAACCGAAGAACTCGATGTATAAAGTCAAGTTTTCCTTGTAATATTATTCAAATATAGATCAGAGCTAAATTTTTTTTCTGCGTATCAGCAGATATGTCTCACAAAACTAATATGGGCAGATGGCGCTAATCCAAAAGAAAATAAAAGAATGGCCGGCAGTATTCATAAACGTGGCTATTTGATAAATTTTTCTGATTCAAATGTAATGTGAATATGAAATAGTAAATCTGTTTCTATTCAGTATTTGTTTCCAGGTCTTACCAATGACGTGGCTGGACGAGCTCGCAGACTTGTGCAAGAAACACTCCATCCCGATTCATATGGACGGAGCTCGCCTCTTCAACGCTTGCGAATACCTAGGAGAGAAACCTAGCAATGTAGTCAAGCACTGCGCTAGTGTCTCAGTATGTTTTAGTAAAGGATTGTGCGCGCCGGCCGGTTCGGCCTTAGCGGGATCTTATCATTTTATAGAACAGTGAGTATATTAATACTAATAACACAAATAATTCTGCGACCCGACTGGACTCGCTTTTTTATTTTTTATAATATTGACGGAGGCAGTTAGTTATATAAACCATTTGTATTTAATTTTCGGTAACACTGTGTACGTAAACAGATTAATTACTTTCCAGAGCGCGTCGCTTGCGCCGAATGCTAGGCGGCGCCATGCGGCAGGTCGGCGTGCTGGCCGCACCGGCTCTCGTGGCCCTCGACGAAATCGTGCCGCTGTTGGGGTTCGATCACAAGCGCGCGTTTAGGCTCGCCAAAGGTAAACATCCACCACAGTCTTTAATATTTTATATCCATGCAGACATGGGCAGTGGGTTTTAACCCAATTCTGCCCACAATTGTGGGTGAAAAAAGCGAATAAGGATTTTCGTATAATTCCATACTTATTACAAATTTCAATGTTAAAAATCTTTTTTAGATGAAAAATAGGCGACTCCACTCGATCCTGCGTCTTCCTCCTTGCAATCCTGTCGACTCTCATTTGCTACCACTCAAATAAATAAATCTATTACCAGGAAAAAATCCATGCTTAACGTAATGAAGTGTATACGATAACAAGTTTTTGTATAGATTAATTTTAATGCGATTTTCAAGCGAATCGATTCAATAGAAAAGCGACATTGTACAACATTTTTCTTGTAAATAGTTTTTGCCCTCGAATGCTGGAGTTATGGGTTTTAACCGTTAACAAAGCGCTGGGTTAAAACGCGGCCGCTAGCCCATCCCTAATTACAATACTTTCCCTTAGTGTACCATATCTCACGGATATGGTACACTAAGGGAAAGTATTGTAAATACGATATTTTGCTTCATAAACACATTTTATTTTTAAAAGTAAGTAATACTGCTGCATTCAAAGACTTAAACTGTTGCTCGCCTCATCTGGGAATCGAACCGACTATATCGATGGGTCCTAAGTATAAGGGCCAAACTAACGATTTGATCATTTTCATTATAAAATGAAGCATTTTCCCACAAAAAGTGAAGAAAAGCACTGTTTTACGTATTCTCTGTACGATTTAAAGCTCTGAGTGGCAATACAACTGTTATGGACAGTGGACAGACTCACCCGAGGCGCTAGCCTCTTGAGAACCAGATGAAGTCAGTGACAACCCTGTACACTGGCTGATCTGGGATCAGGATTTGAACTTAGAAGGTTCCTGTGCACGCACAGGTTATAGTACGCTTCTCTTATACCCTAAGGGTCGGTAGGGAAGGTCACTATAATCAAAATTAATGTAGAATGATATGGGGCTGTTATGAACAGGCGTGTCGTTTACTACCAGGCATAGCAATACATTTCGCTAACATGTCAAAGAAGGTTAACAAGCCTTGCAAAATGTATGAAGTCGCCAACCCACATTGGAGCAGTGTGGCGGTCTGTGGCCTAAACCACAGAACAATAAATACAGTAGAAATGCTTAGTTGGCGTAGCACATGCGCTAACAGCACGTGTAGTTCCCTTGAGCTCAGTCCGCCATATTCGCTTTGTATGTTATGATCGTGCAATACCTCGAAAGTTTTTGCTATTAAGAGCTCTCATGCCAAAAAAGTCTTGACGTTGGCTCCGCCCACATTTGTGAGACAAATATATGTATGAAGTGCGCGTGACATGCGACAGGAGGTGTTGAATTTTGCGCATTAAAAGTACCAAATTCGTTTTAGCGGAATAACTCTAAAACCTAAAATTATTTATCCTTTATCCCTTATTTAAAAAAATCCTTAGTGACAGTTCTCGATCATGCATAAATATAATTAATTATCTAACTTGTCCTAATAACCTGTAGCATTTCGAGGATGAATCGAAAAAATGTGAAAATTAGAGGTCATTACGTGATTTTTATTTATCGAGGAAACTTTATTGTTTAATGCTTCTGATTAATGTCTATGCTTGAATATATCGTGAAGTTACTCATACAATATTTTATTTTTAACTTTAAAGTGGATATACCCCTCTACAATCAAATCGAAGATTAGGAATTTTTCCTCTGCTCCCTCTTAAGGAGTACAAAAATTATATTTGCATTTGTAATATTAATTATGGTGGTGTTTCACACCATCGCGTTAAGTCTTATTTAATTTAATTTAAATAAATTTTTTATTTTATTATTTTAAGATGTTTTTTTTTTAATATTTTTGTTTCATGAAAGTAAACTTTATACTACAACAATAACAATATGGTTAGCCTTTTTTGTAGAACGTTAATTGGTGTTAAAAAAATAAAAACGTAACTATCAATAATAGGTATTGAACTTTGAACGATATGTCAACAGTGTAAAGTTTAAATTATATTAATAGTCCAGAACTTGTTAAAGCTTAACAAAATACAAACAAAAGGACCAATAATTAACAAGATTTCATAGTATTTAAATTATAAATAGTACGAGTTTTGGCGACAACGGTTCTGACAGTAATTGAGGCTTAAGGTACTTTCATTGTTTTTTCTTCCGTGGCCTTAACAATCACCCTAGAGGAGACCCTTGCCCAGCAGAGCGACGTATAACGGGTTGTTAGTGATGTGGTCTAATATTCCACACTCGTTCAAAAACCTACTCTCGAAATTGACATTGTTTCCTTGTCATCATATAGCTATTTATGTTCCTCAAGACTGACGGATATTGAAAAGTAACTTAGGAATAAAGAAACATTTATGTGTAGCGATGTAAATGTTTCTTTATTCTAAAAGTTACTTTTATTGCAATCTTTATTTATTGGAAGTAAAAATATTGGTGTTATCAGTTTGTATGAAAAGTTCTCTTTATTTGCTTTATACAAAACATCTATTGTACTTATAAAGTAAATAAAGAAAACTTTCATACCGTCTAATTATACCAGTATTTGGACTTCAAATGAACGTTTCTTTGTTTTAAAATCTACTGTGACGTTGGCACAAAGTAGTCTAATGCAATTTAATAAAAAAAATTACTGTCATAACAGTTGGCATAGTTTTATAGTGTCATTTATTAAAAGAAGTGCTGTCATGGCATCGGCAGTATTTTAGTCCCTTTTAGTCATTGACTTACAATTATATGGACGTCGGGTCCGCGCTAAAAAGTGTCCGCACTTGTAAGGCGCTAAAATCGTATACAGAGCGCCAAACTCCGCTATAGTCTTCATTTGTTCTACTGACAGCGCGATACTGCGATGACATTACAATTTAAATTTCGAATAGGTTGACTTGGGACATTTTTTTCGTGGTTTTTGTATTAGACCCGTCGTCCATTTATTTGTAAGTCAATGCTTTTAGTAAAAAAATGTATTCTTATGACATTGCCGCATTTAGTAAAAAAACCAACTCTTCTAACATCGGTACAAAGTGTTCTAATGCCAAAAAACCTACTGTTATGACATTGGCACAAAGAGGTCTAATGCCATTTGGTAAAAAAAAACTACTGTTATTTCAATAAAAAGTCGATGGAGTTGTTTTAAATGTCAAGTGAGAACATACCTACCTATTTAAAAAAAACTTTGTAACACCATGTATGTATATGTATGCATTAAAGAATATCTAGAATGGAAAAAATCTATGGAACATGAAGGAGAAGTACTTAAATGCTTAAGATAGCAAATTATATCGTATGAATATAGGGTCAGCCGATTGTCGGTAAAAAGATTATTGACTCCATTGACTTACAGTTATATGGACGTCGGGTCCGCGCTAAAAAGTGTCCGCACTTGTAAGGCGCTAAAACCGTATACTGAGCGCCAAACTCCGCTTTAGTCTTCATTTGTTCGACTGACAGCGCGATACTGCGATGATATTACAATTTAAATTTCGAATAGGTTGACTTGGGACATTTTTTTCGTGGTTTTTGTATTAGACCCGTCGTCCATTTATTTGTAAGTCAATGATTGACTCATATTAGATTAATAAAAACTTTGCATTACTGATTAACCTTAACCATGAAGGTTTCATTATCAAAGTATCTTTGGATTCATTTATTTACAATCTGTAACAATTCGAAATTTATGTTTCTCGCTTAAATTATTCTCATGTGTCGTTGGAACTACTTACTTTAATTGGAACTAGTTTAAAAAAAGTGGCCAGTGGAAGTGGAATCAATTTAATAAGCCAGACTTCCAGAAGTACCCTTTGAAGACGTTTTTACAATGTACGTAGTATCGATTACACATATAATATATTTGTACACTAGGGAAACCCTGAGTCGCGGGTGCCATGGACACGCATAGAGACAACCATAAATTACACCCTACACCCAAATTCACGAGAAATAAATGTAAGCCATACAAGTACTTCTCCCGGCCCGGGAATCGAACCCTCTGCGTGGTAGACCAGTATGGTAGCCGTTCGACCACAAAAGTAGTTGTATATATTAAAAATATAAGAATAATACTTCAATAATTTAACAATATGCTTTGAATACCTTCAGTCATTTAGTACTGCAATTTTATTTTGGAAGTTAATATAAACAATTAAATATCTAACATAAAATTACCAATTGCTCCGCAGTAATCGAGGGCCTGTTCCTCGACTCATTCGCCGTGGACGTGGAAAACCTACATACCAACATTGTGCTGGTCAGGATATCCGAGAACAGCCCGTTGACATCCGAAGTAGTGCTGCAGAGACTGATGGAAGTTTGTCAGAGTGAAACAATGGTACGGTGACACCTTTTTGTACCTATTCTATTTGTTATGGTATCGATGGTATGACATGGCATGGCATGTTTGTCATCGTGGTGAAAGGATTTGGCAAGGGAATCGTGCACCAGACGCACAGGAAAGGAAGGTACAACGCACAGGGTCCTTTCGTGTACGCCTAGCTATTTTCATATTTTTAACTCAGCGGCTTCCAATCGCCTTCATCTAAAAGTCCCTAGGTGATAGTGAATCCCTAGCATTCTCCACGACACTCCATATCTCCAAACAATCAAACGAAACAAGACATTTGAAATGATATTGAATTTCTTTGTGATAAACAGTTTTTAAAGGCGTTGCAAGAATGCATTTTAATCACCTTGAAGTGATTAAATTTGTAGCATATAAAGTTTTTAAATTCTTATGTAGTCATGTATTCATGCAATAATTTATATACTATACTCACACTGTCCAATCGGTTACAAAAACCAAGTCATATAGTATAATAATAATAAATTTAACAAGTCTTATCAAGTTTAAAAATAATATTAATATGATTATTTTCTCCACAAACATAACAATTGTACGTTTTTTAATATTATATAATAGACACACGCTTGGCCACAATCTCACCCGATATTAAGCGACGATGTGACCGATGATGGAACGCGTTTGCCTAAAAAATGCCTATTCACTCTACCGTTGAATAACCCCAAATTTTACTTTTCGGGAAACACGGATAGGAATGTATGTATGTGCATGTACAACATTTGAGGTATATGATAAAATATAGATTTTGTCTTTTGTTTCTGGTATATGCAATAGTGCACATACCAGAAAATGAATCAAGATACATTCTTCAATTTTATAAGAAATCTCCAATATTAAATAGAAATGAAATAACAGTTTTTGAAGAACCTAACCTAAAATGTAGACAAAAAACTACAATATGTAAAAAATGTTGCGCTTTTGAATGCAATATTTTCATTATAATGTACGCTGGGTGCTTACATCATCATAGAAATAATCTGAATCACTTCGCATGTTATGTGCATGAGGCCTTAGGAGGTTAAAAAATCTCGGTTGAATTTTTTCATACAAAACGTTATTTTAGTACATTTTAATGTAGATAAATACATTGGGCGTTTAGCGCTTTTCCCATTCGACACTATTATTGCACTACTGACTAATTATTTATTTACAAAATAGGCGTCAAATAAATAAAGGATAATAACCGTCCAGTTTGAATGACCCTGCATTATTTTGAGCTTTCCGCTAAGTGTGCGGATATGTGTAGTTATAGTTATATTAGTGGCGAGGTGTGAACATAGTTGTTAGTAAACCCGGAGCAAAACAAACAACATCTCCTTAAGAATAAGTGGCGCCTCGGCGACACTTAAGGGTCGTATTCCAGAACTCTACTCAATGCTCAAGTCAGGACTTGAGTATACGACCGTAATGGCAAGGACTCGAGTATGATTTCCACTGTTTGAAATCATACTCAAGTCCTGACTTGAGCATTGAGTAGAGTTCTGGAATACGATCCTCAAACTCAACTTATTAGCACACAAGGTAGGTACTAGTACACTTCATTTCACTAGTTAATTTATTATACAGTTAAAATTTAGCACAAAATGTAGTATTTGATAATACGTGGAAAATTTTAGGCAAGCCGGTGGAAATTGAGTTATATGGACGCCTCGCCACTGTAGTTATCACAGTTAGAAGAGGGATAATTGAGTTTATAAGCACAAAAGTGGTGTAACCCACATTCACTTTTTTTCTACAATATTACTTTACGTAACACCATAAAAATATAAAATAATTATGTACTTAATTATCATTTAAAGCAATAATGTAAAAGCTAAATGTATGTGGGTTATGCCACTTTTGCGTTGATAGCCTCAATTTAAAATACACACTTTCGTTTCTACGCATATAAACTTGAACTTTAAAATCAATATTACATTTATAAGTAAAAATTATCTATTTAAAATTGCGTAACATGGTAAATAATTTGTTCATAATATTTCCTTCCAGAACGATTGCAAAACGGAAAACAACGATGGTGTGATTGTGAGAGGTACCCATTTTAATGACAAAACGCTTAGATTCATTTTGCACCACGACATTACTGACGAGGATCTCTGGCTTGCCATTATGAAGATCACGTACGTTTTCAAGGAGTTAGACAAAAACAAACAAGCAGCAAAGAAAAACCAAATAATTTAAGGACAACAAGCAAAATATCTAATTACATAATGTAACGATTTTTTTCTGGGTTAGCAATATCATTTACTAATCGGTTCTATCAATGAAAACATTAAAAACTTAAATATTGATTGTAACGAATATCATGTTTTACTACATTTATGAAATTACTTCGTTATGAAAAATTCCTTTGATCTGACAGGATCTGCGTCTTTATTCAAATAGTTTTCGCTTCACAGAACTAGAGCCTTTTTATCAGCCACTAATTTCACGAATGACTAACGGTCGTTTTCTAGAACTCTACTCAATGCTCAAGTCAGGACTTGAGTATGATTCAAAGCACTAGAAATCATACTCAAGTCCTTGCCATTAGGGTCGTATTTCCAGTGCTTGAAATCATACTCAAGTCTGCTCAAATCCTGACTTGAGCATTGAGTAGAGTTCTGGAATACGACCCTAAGTTGTCAGTCTAGTGTTGTATCTATAAATGTTAAAATAAAATTCGCCAACTGGTTGCCATGTTTAATTTAGGTTTTATAATGATAAAATCGAGTTGGCACAAGATTAACTCGACATTGCATTTAACACTTTCCGCCTTTTGCAATTTTCTAAGTACAAATTAAAAACACAATAGAAAATATATGTGTAATATATTTCATGAGGATCCCGAAAATTAAATGAAGACCTGGCTCAAAGAATTTGTATCCAATCCAAAAATCCTTTAAAACACGTCCTGCCTTTTTGTTTCAGGCGGATTTTAATAGTTACATGTTTTACACGAATACATTTTTAGTTTATGTATATTATACGTAGTGCGTTTCTTGATTATTTGTTACCATTAAGCTGGTGGCTCTGAAGCCAATGCTTTATGAATAAATAAATTTTTGTTCCACTTTGACGTTTTAGACAGCGTAATTTATACCATTATTAGTTTTAGTAAGTTAAGTCTTCTTTATTAATGAGATTTAAAATGGGTTTTTGTTATAAGTGTTTTCTATGTTTACCTTATTTTGTTTTTAAAATCAAATGCGAATAATATGAATATTATAATTTGTAAATTAGTGATAAGTTTTTTTATATTTTGTAAATGCATAAGATGCATACAATAAAATTATATTCGTACAAGTTGTGTCCGTAACAATTACTTCCAAGTGCCAAGCACTTTGTGCTATGGCGTTACTATTTTATATTGCGACTATTTACAAAATAAAACACGTTCATTTAATGTTAAGTTTTATTTACTATTTACCTGTATGTAGAAATAATGAGACAAAATTACATGCTTCCATAGTAATCTAGAAAGAATATAAAGAAATCAGTCATTTTTATTCTAAAATCTTTACAATTCATTTCTACAAATGAGTAAAACAATATTTGGAACTATACTCGATAATGGAATTTGAGATCAAAAATGTAAATAAAGGTGTTGCCATTATAATAAAAAAAAACGTAGAAATGTAAAATGGTCTAAACGCACGATTTTTTTAACTGTGCTCATGTCCTTATATTGTGTACAAATACTAAACAAAATATTTTTGTTAAAACTGAGGTGAAGGGTCACCTCAAAATTTTTTATCCTAATGACAATGTTTCGGGGACAGCCACTGTTGTGTGCTTTTAAGCCGATGACATAAAATAGTTTTATTATTACAAATTAAGTTCCTTAATAAAAATTAAATTAACAAGCTTAACGTTACGTATGTCTGTATAAAGATTTATTAAAACGACCGCGACGAAAATGTTTATTACTTATGAGACGTCACTTTCATAGTGACAGTTGTTTGTTTACATTTTTGATCTCGATTTCATCGTTGAGTATAGCAATTTTTTTTTTTTCTAAAATATACAAATATTTTTTTAACGTGAGTATAATCTTTTAAACTAAACCATTTCCACTTAACTGTATCACCTGGAATTATTAAGGAAAAATTAAATAAAACACTAACGAGAAACAAAACTAGAGAGCATTATTAATGACTTGACAAAATAACTAATACAAACAAAAAATAAAAGCGCTTTATTCCAATAAAAAGCATCTCCTAGAATATTGTAACATGGTCCTGATTGTGAGTTTATCAATTGCTTAAGCCAGGGATCCGTCCCTCGCTCGAGGTTACGCGATAAGTGCCTACAGCCTTTCATTTACATTACAATCCTTGAACAACCCCTGCATTCGGTTCCGGCTTTCACGGAGATATAGTTCAATCCCTTCAAGGGTGGCTAGTTGCCACATCAGAAGAGTAACATTTTCCTACAATTATCAACTTCAACTTTACCTATGGCTCCGTCGTTTTGCGCGACGATTTCGCCAACGTCAGGGTTGAAAGACATGAATAGCGGTGGTGAGATAGATTGCCGGTTATTAAAATACATCGGCGGTTATTATTCACATGAAAATTTTCATTGCACATTTTTACCATGCTAGAGCGTAGCCTAAGTTCTAAAGACGGGTCCCAACTCCCAATATCGTCCATTTCTTTATAGTGACAAACTTAAGTCTAAAGGTGGATTTACACCTTCAAGGGTGGCTAGTTGCGACGACAGCTCCTGTTTGATCAATGCAAGGGCATATCGCGACGACAGCTCCTGATTAGCCAACTCAAGGTCATATCGCGCAACGCGACAAATTGCGGCAATATTGCCCGAATTTGTGCATTGTTACTCCACCACCATTTTATATATAGGTACGCGATTTAGATCCGAAAAAATTGTTACTTTCCAATGTGTAGCAATAGCGAAAACCTAATAACTAGATTAGTTAAAATACTAGACAATCCGACAATTAGGACCACATTATCAGTGTTACAGTTGAAGTAAATTATTAGTGACACTTGTCACATCATTTTTTACTTTAATAAACTTTGGAATAGTAACTCAGTTCTAAATGTTATGATATCAATAACACAATATAGCCTAGACCCTTTACCGTTGTGTACGGTCTTTACGACAAATAAATAATACACAATACCTAGTGTATCCAATCCTACATTAACCTAGATATACATGAAAATTTTAAAATCTATGACTTATTAAGGTCGGATTTTTAATTATACCTTGTAAACTGATGTTAGTGATCCTAAAGCAACGGTTTACTCGCTCAGGTCACCGAGGTAAATATAATATATATTTTTTTATCATTTCTATGTATTATTGATTTTTATTGAAATTCACTGTTTTATTACGACCATCGTGATATTTTTTTTTTGTGAACTAACTCCAGTAGTTTGTTATAATTATTAATAGAAAGATGGAACAGGAAGAAAAATTCCTTCGATCTGACAGGATTTGCGACCACGCTGTACCGTAGCGTCACTCTGCCAACTAAGCTACAAGTCGAGTCAGCAGGACAACAAAATTCTTGTATGTGTTTGTTATACATTTTTGTATTGAGTTTTTTCAGCTTTCATTTTAAAAAACCGATTTTGATAATAGAAAAATGATAGAAGTATATAGAGACTAAGCGTAAAAGAAATAGTTTTTAGCAGATTCTTCTTTTTTTAAGTGTTATAACTACATCGATACAATTCCCGTCAACGTTAAGTAAGACACGCATTTATTACACAGAATTTTACCAGTGGATTTCGGTTATAGATGTCACTAACAACTGAAAAATCTTTTTTTTGACAGATTACACGCAACCCTCATGGAAGAATGGCATTGGAGTTACTTCAAAAACGTTTATTGCTTCATTAGATACCTATAAATATAACCCACATCCTTTCCAATTCTTTTAACTCTATACTACAATAAATATCATCATTTCAGCCGTGGAACATGGGCCTCCCCTTAAGAACGCAACAACAACCGGTCTTGGGCTGCTGGCATCTAGCGAATTCCCGAAACCTTCACCAGATCGGTCCACCTTGCCTTGCACCTTGCCCATTCAGCGTCTTCTGATACGCAGTCGTCACTCGAGTACTCTGGCCCCACTGGCTAAATCTGTTCCGCGAGCTATGTGCCCCGCCCAATGCTACTTAAATTTTGCAATTCTTTCGATTCAACATTTCTGATTCGATCTCGTCGAGCCGTTTCTATTAACACTTTGTGTGACCTTAAGCCTTTTTATGACGCCCATAGTGAGCGACCAGTGCCTGCCTTACATACAATATATATAGCAACATTATTTTCAGAGATGATATTAGTAGCTGTCAGTTGGTTCTCTTATTTAATTAAAAATCCGACTCAGGAACTTATTTACATATTAAACTAGTAATCGGTTGCTTAGAACACTTGGGAATATGAAACACCTAAACAGAGGTGGTTCAGTAGTACTCAGAATTTCGATTAGAAAATTTAAATTTTTTATTCGAGATTAATTAACCCTGAAATTGTGGTGTTAGTAATGATTTTTTACATCAATGTCACTACAGGAACAATGCCGAGTTTAAATCGCACTCTCAATATGAATGATAATACCATTAATTACAGGTTTCTTACCACGGTATGAGTTTCTTTTGTTTTCCCGATATTTCGGAACGGTTACACGCTTCATGGTACCGGGTTGACTGGCGCTTTAAGAGCGGTAATTATCTGTCTACCGTCGTCTTTCATTGTCGATAACTACTTTCATATCGATTACTTGTACAAGTAATTGAGATGGCCAGTCAATCCGTGCCCATGAAACGTGTAACCGTTCCGAAATATCGGGAAAACAAAAAAAACTCATACCGTGGTATGAAACCCCCGAAGGATGAATTAAGTCACTTTCGCCATTGAGAGTGTGAAATGTAATTCATCGTTTATTACAAAAAGTAAGATTTCCTGGATTAGCAAAAATATTTTAACCCATACTATGCGAAAGATTAACAAACCAGTTTGGTTAAAATTGCACTCACTCAATAAATAGAATAAGTAACAATTTCTTCTTTTTATTTTTTAAGTATTTAACTTGATATCTCCCCACTTTTCCCAATATTAATATAGTTAATTAATTTGGAGCAATAACTGTAATGTTACCTTTATGCGAGAAAAAATCCATTAATATTCTGAAAAGTTTAACCTACAAGACTATTAAAACCTTGTTGCTCGTTCCAAACTTTGATCAACTCATCATGATCTCCGTAGCCATGAGATGCTATCACCTCCTTATATCCTTCTCTAGTATACTGCTTCTTATAAAAATAAATTCCCGGACAATGTATAGGCACAATGCCAACCTTCTTAGCGACAATACCTAAGTATACATCATCAAACCTAAAATGTTTCACAAAGAAACTACCTACATATATAACTTTCATCGATTGGTTGGAAACTATGTACGCTCCCGCTGTTACATATGGTGGCCATCTGTCCCAAGGGTATTCATCTAATGACACCCACCATTTACTAGTTTTAAACCTTTGCGGTGTGGATTTAAATACATATCCTACTAACATATGTTTGTCCTTGTCTATCTTATCTTTTACTGTATCTTTCTTGCTCGACTTTTCACTTTGTTCTTGAACATAATTTAAAACGTTGTTAACAGATATATACATGTCATCATCGGTGAATAAATAAAAATCAGCGGTTGAACAATGCTCATACACCCAACGGAATGACATCATTGTTTTTATTGTGTTATTGTAGTAATTATCACGAAAACCTATTTGTATAATATCTTTATATAGTTCCATTTCCTTTTGTATTGATTTTTGTGTTTCTGATTTTGGATTTCCATCTGTACCTAGGAAAAACAGGGATTTCACTATTCTACCAGGAACTACATTATCCTGTCCGTATGTCTTTCGTATAGCGTCTCTTTTGGAGAAGTTTTTCATAGCTGATTTTATGACAATGAACAAGTCTAGTTTTTCTATGGTATTACATTTTCCAGAATTAGTTAAAAACCTATATGGGTAAAAGTTTATGGGTTTCACTGATGGCTCGGAACCTGACAAAACTTCTTCTATGATCGGCTCCAACTTCACATTTAATGGATAATCAAAATCATCAAAAGTCCTAGCGAATAAGTAATCACCTATACCGAAAAAGTTACATAAAACAACTACAACTAGAGCACTTAATATATATTTTTGTTTTTTTCTCCACATGTTCTTGTAATCACTTAGTCTTTTGCTATTTTCACTAAACATGGCTTTGTCTTCATAGTTTAGTGTATACTTTTAAAGTGTAAGTAACTTTTAAACCTGAAAGTAAAAAATGATCTTGAATTAAAATTTTGATAAAACACAAATGGAAAAGGAGCTAGGAAAATGAACTTCAAACTATCTATCTTCTAAAGTGGCGAATTAAATTGGGTTTAAACTAGCAACAGACATTGTTTTAGCCCATTGGTTTCAATTTGGATCAGTGGAAATAAAGAAATCTGTTTCTATAAATACGCGCAGTACAGAAAGTACGCTTACCAAAAAAGACATTGTGAGCATTGAATATCTCCACATTAAAAAATATATATATTAATAAAATGAAACAGAACGTGTTCACTTCTACGCGTATTTGTTCACGCAATAGATTATAAACTATTGTATTTTTTATAACGCCAGCGATGTAGGCGATGCAAGCTTATCAGCTACTGAAATATTTGCATGCCATCATCTGATAAGAAATAGTTCAAAGAAAATGTCCTACAAACATCTAGTTCACCAAGGACTCTATGACATTAATAATAAGAATGAAAAAGGTTTCTGAAGTTAAGTGACATCATCTGTTAACTTTACTTAAGATTGCAACTGAACACGAAGCCACTTTTGATAACGACCATGTAAAGTCTATAAAGCCAAGTGAGCTAATATATGTTTATATTTATATGTTATACAAACACAAATAGCAGTAATGTATAGTGAACATACTGCTTTATGAAATAATTCAATAAGTAAAGAATTGTGGAAAATGTAATAAATAAAGTTATGTAACAAGTTTCAAAGATGTATTGGTTTATATTGTTTGATCATATTATGTACTATTTTAATGCGAAGGATAGTATTTTACAATACTTATTATAATATGGAATATTTTATACTCATAGCAACTAGAGAAATAATAATGCAGGACACAAATAGACAACCACAAATTACATCCAAACCTACGAGACCATACAAATATTTCTCCCAACTCGGGAATCGAACCCGGGACCTGCGTGGCTGCCCAGTATAGCAATCAATCGGTCATGTAGACAGTTAAATTTATAATTTATGAAGGGAATGTTTGGAAAAATTTTGATTAGGAATTAACAGAATTTTAAATGCCTGTTACAGGATCTGCATCTCCCTATTTCTCCACACCTGTTCGAGATCCAGCAAAAATGCAGTAGACTACCGTAATGAAAAACAGACAGTGATAAAATTAGTTTTGTGAAATGGAATATGTATATGTCACTCCACAGTGCCTCACGGATACACTCGAGGACTACCAGGGATTCACGAGGCCAAATGACAAATTAGTTTAATTAATTTGATTAATAATAAATATATTTACATAAAACCAGGTGTAGTTGATGTGAGTAAAAACATTTTTGTGCCATAATTTATTAAGTTTGTTCTAATGAGAGGTTTGATTTATGGCCCTTTGTCATATAAACCAACTGGGAGAATAATGGTAACAATGAGATAAGGACTGCAGAAACGAATTTACAGCTTTTTGTTAGTGTTTTTCGTTATTGTAATAACAACTCATAAAAGTAAAATTCTTACCTCTACAGTGAAGTATCGACGGTAGAGCTGATTGAGACAGGGGGTAGGTAGTGGCTGCGAATCTGGTTGTGAAGACGGGCCACCTCCGAGTCCAGGCTTTCCATCTCACGCACCATCTGGGTGAACTGGACTACGCCTAAAATATAGCCAGGGTACTTTATTATAACAAAAATAACCAAGAAAGATGATCGTACAGAAAAACTTAAGGTCAACAATTGTGTAAAATAGAATGGTCTGATGATAAAATTGGTAGTAAAAACGAGATGGTCAACATGAAGTCTATTGACTACTAAAGTGTTGAAATATAAGATAAGGTTAATGTTTATTCAATTCAAAGATATGCCACTTATAATTAAAACTTATCTTGTGGGGTGATTCAGTGTCGCAAATATGTAATATCCGTTAGCTTTGTAAGTCTTTTGTCTGAAATCCGCACAGATCCGGTGTTTGTATGTGTATGTCTCACAGATAAAAGTTAAGAGAGAGGAGACTAGATTCTGCCATGAAACGGATGAGACTTCTTTGCACTTTGTTAGGCAATGCTGCCTTTTTATAGGCACACAGCATCTACTTGGTAAACATCCAAGCCCCAACCGAAGGAGATCAATACAAGAAATGCCTGAAAATCGTTCAGTTGTACTGTTGATCTAGGCTCCTGAGTTTTAGTTAATGGTAATATTATTACTGTTTCATGTCATCAATGCCATGGTGAATAAAAACTAAGGCATTTAACCAGTGCTTTCTATTAATTGTGTATGTTAACAACTGGCCTCATTCACAAAAGACAATGGCAAACTCCCATATAAATTATTGTTGACAAAATTTGTATGCATCTATTTATGAAAAATATGCGAAAATATATAGTTCAAATTCCTAAACAAATTTTGTTTCAGGTAAAATTTTTGCACTTGAAAACATCATTTTTAAGCTACTGCTCGTTCACTATGCTGACCTCCCTGAGAAGAACGATCAAGAAACTCTAGGGATTGCTCTTTGAAATAAAGTTAAATGCTATGGAATACACTTTGAGCCATAATTGTGTGGAATCTAGATTCTTGTTATCTTTCCATACTTCTTTACCTAACACATACTCTTCTATTCTACAATATGACTTTTCAATTAAAATACTTAAACTTAGGAAATTATAATCTTAATACATTCTCTGGAATCTTATTGTAAAAACGTATACAAGTTCCCCATAAAAGAATCGTTTACCTTAGTGAAACGAAATCGTGGTACCATTTAGACTTTAGTTCTAAGGTCACGGCCATACAAAATATTTGAGTAAATATACTGTGATGCCAGTCATGGTACCAGTCTTCTTAAACTTTTCTTTGAGAGAAACCCGAGAACATAAACAGTACACAGAACGAATCGCTCGTTTATGCAACACAAATATAGTTTGTATGTCTGCCGCTTTACATGAGAATCCCGTCGGACATTATACAATGGACTAAACTAAACTAGTCTGGCACTAGCAACATCGGTAAGCTCACGTATTCTACAGACTGCTGCATAAGCAGAGCTTAATCTGCTGGCTATGGAAGATATATGTGGAAACCATTGATTCTCACCGGCGCTGGCGCAGGACGATGCAAGACACCTTCGATGCAACTCGCGTACTAAATCGCTCGCCGCTATCGGTTTCACATTGTCGCGCTTACGTATTGACGCTCTGTACCATATAATCTCTAGTTCAGTATATTGCTTATTCTGTACAGCTTCGTTTCAAGAACAATTAAACAAGAAATATATACATACAGATACAAAATTGTTCTAAGTACTAGTGATCATTTTAATAAAAATAGTGTTTTATAAATTTACTATATACTACTTTTTAACTATTTGAATACACCAATCAGTACTGTACAATGTTTAAATACGAGCATTAGAAAGTCATTTCCGTTGCCTCTAATTGTTTCAGTCTACTTCAAGCCTTGGTTATCACTTCAAAATACTTTTCATAATGTCGCATGTACTTCTACTCAAGGATAGTAATTGTAATGTGCTTTTTCCGTTATTACTGACTCTTATATTAGTTATAAGCGTTTAGAGTACAATTCCAAGATGTTTTCCTGAAGGAAATCATATCATAATTAAATTTTTATAAATAACTTTTGCAAAATATTTTCTTTGGTCACAGTCTTAGCTACAACCGTAAAAGCACTTTAGCTGAAGATTACAACTAGCCTTTAGATATAATCATTAAGCATATCACCTAAATTACTTTGCGCTGAGTTTTATTAGCAAAGTTCCGAATGTTCGCGATGAATACTCACTTTTCCAACATCTGCCGCAAGAATATTATCACGAACGCCAAAGGCCGGAAATGCAAATGCGGAAACGGAAATGAAAAGGCAGGAAATGCCTGTCGTCCATATACACCACAACCTTATCAGGTACTGGAGCAATATCCTCCCAAGTTGTGTTCTTTGAAACACTAATGACTGATGTGTGTTTGTAAAACCTAATGAATTTATTTTATTCAAACTTGCAATTAAGACTTTGAAGACACAAATGAATTCTTTTAATTGTGATTTTGCCATTGTTCTTTAATGTTGTTCAGTGTGAGATGGTGGGAGCTATGCGTAGGGTTTCTCTGATGGACTGAATTCGTAATACAATTCATATGTCAGAAAATACAGTGATTCGCATAGCTCGCAAAATCTGTAAGCTTAAGTCGCAGTCAGTGGAACACGTCTGCAGGAGGGATGATTACCAATAGGGCAGACTAGTTCTAAAGTGATGATCACATCAAGACAATTATAAAAAAAAATAATAGTAACAACAACGCACACATTCAACATAGCCCCGCACTAGGGAATCCCTGTGTCGCGAGTGCCATGGATACACACATAGACAACCACAAATTACACCTCAACTTAAGGAAGAAATAAATGTAGGCTATACTAATATTTCTCCCGGCCCGGGAATTGAACCTGGGACATCTGTGTGGCAGTCCGATATGGTGGCCGTTCAGCCGTGGTGGCAGTTAAATAAATGTAGTGTAGGAATGGATGCCCTGCGGCAAGATGGATGACACCACCTGTGAAAGGTGGCCAGCAGTGGCTGGATGCAGGCAGCAAGCAGGATGCAGGGCCAGAAACACTGGCTCTATAGAATTTTGGAACATAGCACAAGTTTTCGGAATAGTAAATTTATTTAACTCGTCCATGTCCAAAAGACTCACAATGTCTCTAATGAATGGTAAATTTATTATGTATATTTAAAACAAAACTCTGTGGTTCTGGGAGTATACAGTATTTCATATAATCATATGGGATACAATGTGTCTTTTGGACACGTGATAAATTAGTTGTTTTTCAATGTTTAAACAAATCAGCAAAACTGACAGACATCTAACAAATGGAATATGGTTAATGCTGACTAAAGACATTAGCAATACTATGTATTATTAGTCTGTTTAATGTTGCAAATGAATTACTTACTGGTTATGGTATATAAGATCTAGTCTTCAATGGCTTGGTTTGACACTAGATCTGCTTTCCATTGAATCCAAAATATGATAGTGCTGCAGTGCAATTAGGCTACAGTGGTACCTACCTAGGTAAATTCTGCGCAGATAGACTAACTAGGGCTAAAACAACACATACCTTCTCTAGAATTGCTGAACCCATGCCGTTTAATAGTTTCCATTTCAATCTGCACAACCATAGGAAATACAATTTGCATCATCTTTAGCATCTCATTGCCAGCGGCTTCTTTCGCTTCGTCCAGTTTCGACGCGTAATCGGGAGACTCCAGTGAGTCGATCACTTCGCTTAAAATCTGCCGCACTTGGTCAACTGTTACGTGTTGTGGCGATGACATGGTAGTTGATTTTAATCATTTAATTTCTATAACAATTACATTTGTTGAATTAAGTTCAAACTTTTATGATGCAGAGCGTGTGATGAGAGTGCAAAGTTTATTGAACGCGCAGAGATCAACCCTGAATTTAAAAATACTCTGTAATTTACTCAAAAAGGACAACTATCGTTTGAAAGCAGGGCAAGTGATGACCATTAATCGCTACTTACTTCAGACTTATCTGCTGCTGTAACACAAAAGTTCACGCTGTAGTTATTCATAAGTTCCTATATCGTAATGACTAGGCTGTTATTCAGAGTAAAATTTTATTTAAAATTCGGCGAATTTCATTTCCTGTGTCATACAAAGGAAACGAGTGAATGAGTGAACAAAACATTTAACATCGACACGACACGACAGATAAAAGAACGAATGAGTTATTAGCTGAATTACAAACCACTCACGCACGACAACAAAAACTATTATTACAGGGTTATTTGTAAAATATTAAAAACATCATAAAAACAACTTTGGTTTCATGATTTTTACTAATTTATCAGATTTTATTTTGGTACAAATACAAAAATAAAATTTATGGCTATAGGACTTGTGTTGTTGTGGATTCAACGTACAAACTGTAAACTTAAACATGCAAATAACAATTTTACTTACAATATCAATTAAAAAAAAATCGGCAAGTTAACAGTTTGTTTTTATTTAGCGGCACGGTTTTGTGAATAGTCATGGAAAAAACTATGATATCCGTAATACAGTCCTACGAGGTTGTTAGTATCTTGTAATAAAAACTGAATGATTACCTATGAAAAGTAAATAGTATACTTATTATATTACACTTCGGTGAGCGTGCAGCTCCACCAGCTTATTCCACCCGCCCTTTTACCATCGGACATCCAGACTTACCCCATAATGGGCTAGGTAGTAATCAAGAATAAGTCAATTTAAAAATTTACATTTAATAATCAAGTTTTAGTCTAGTTTTCAACCAAAAAAGAATACTTATATGAGAACTGATTTTCTAATGCCTTTATAAAATATTTGTGAAAAGAAATGTTATGGTCACTTCTGCTGTGTTACTATTTCCTCGATAAAAACTACGTCGTGTTTATGGTGTGTTATTTAGGATTGTTTAAAAATAACTTTAACTTCATTTCTATGTAAATAGAGCTTGATTCATTATTCATAACGTTTTCATTGATTTTACTACCCACCTATGTTCAAACATTCTAAATTAAGTATTAAATAAGACGTGTATTAGTTTCTACCCATGATTTTGGACAGAAATAGATTAAATTCGGGCATTTTGAGTAAAACCCCGATTAAAACCCGGACGGGTTGTTTGGGTTTCAATTTTCAACCCACTGCCTACCCATCTCTACCACCGACTCTTAACGATGTGGATGTTGTATTGAAATGAAACGAAAAGGCATCAAAATTTAATTTGACATTTCGGAAAATTATTCATCCGGTTTTGCTACAAAAGAATTTTGTATTTATTTATTCAGTTATTTTTACGTTTTCTGCAATTCATAATAAACCGTTGAGAATGGTGTGAATAATAATTATGGAAATATTATAACATTAGCTACATAAAACACGATATGTTTCAAAGATAATTTCAAAAGTGAACTTTAAGTTTGCGAAGAAGTTGTAGTAAGTTTACATGCTACGATTTAACTAAAAAAATATACTCTCATTAATTTTAAACGGACACTGGCCCAATCCTAGTGGCCGCCATTAAGGAAATAATGATATGTATGCACCATGGAACTGCGACGTTAAATGGGCAAGACCACTCTATACGTGTACATACAATACTAATATAATCAATGCATTGTTAGGTGATTTGCATAGTTTTAGTCCATGCTTTGTAATACATAATAATATTACCTACGACACCAACGCCCAATGTCACGTCTTCAACGTTTTCTACCCCCCTATCTAATCGCACACCTCACCAGAGGACATTGTTACTTTTTCATTTGCCATTACTTGGATGTATTGTGCCAAAAACGCACATACTTCTAAGTCCTAGCAATGCGTGGAATGATTTCATTATTCTACTTGTTAGTAATTACTAATCCTGTCATTCAACTGAGAAATTAGTAATCTACTAATTTTGGTATTCGAATAATCTGATTGATCATTAATTCAGATCATAACCATTCCACAATTATTTGACTCAAGTTGAATAATTGTACTTGGATTCGACTTAGGCCCATACAATTAGTATTAGTAACATGCAAAGTCGCGCATTGCTAATAAGTCCCACAGGTCGTCATGGTATGTGTCCTTCTGAGTTTAGGTTTTTTGGTCATAACTCGGGAATTTCCTGTAGTATGAGTACTAGACCAATAGAATTCACTCTGGGCCATTGCGCAGAACACATAAACTGTTAGACTGTCCAATATGTTCCTTGACAGTGATCTGTAAGTAGTGAGTGATAAAGATACATAAACACTGATTATTTGATTGCTGCTCAGATCTTAATTTCTAAAGCACACGTTTTAGCTTTGTTTGTTTATACTTTTACAGAAACAGCATCTAATAAAGCCATAGAAATGGATGAAGTTACAGAGGCCCAGTCATCATCAGAGCCAGAACCACCGCCAGCTGCTGTTACCATTCGAAGAACACTTACAATGAAAAACAATGCTGCAAGACAGGTTGCTGTCAACTTCATGCCTTCTAGGCAGTTGCCTTATAGTAAGTCGAATTACTTAGATTAAAAATTCATCTCGGCCATGAATACAAATTTTTTGGAGAAGCTACTTACTGTAATGGAAGGTTTATCGGGTGATGTTATTTAATGGTGTACTAAAGGAAGAAATAATTTATCTCCCAACAAGAAAATATACGTAAATGAAGAAACAGAGCTTAGACATAGGAGACAGGAACCCAAGTCCTGTGCTATGGTACTCCTAGCTCCCACTATCAGTAATAGTACAGGCAGTAAACAAAAACAAAAAAATGTCACTCATGGCGCTACAGCGAAAAGTGGTTAAAAACTGAAAACAAGGATCTGCACCTACAAATATTCGTAAGGTCTGCAAGTTCGTTATGCTGTTTGTTATGTTTTGCTGGTAACGTTGGTTGAAATCCAGCCAGATTGAAGGTTTTTTTTTTCTAAATGTTCGATCATTGTATTAATAATTAGAACATACTAGTGGAGTAATTTCACAAAATTAATTGAATATCATTGGGTCACATATCATGACATTCAATAAAACTTAAAAAAAAAACAAAGTTACTTGATTGAAAATGAACTATTATATGTTAAACATAAGGCATATAATTTTAATTTTTAATTATTTTCAACTCTTAATGCTTGACTAAGATTTTAAGAAATATCTGTAACACTTTTCTGACTCTGACTAGAAAGCAAAGAAGATTTTGTAGAAATGTTGTTTTTACTAAGTCCTGCTACAATCGAGCATAACTGTTGACCTTGGAAGGTTAAATTAGTGGATTGTTCTCTTTCTGTAAGAACTTTTAGTAGCAGCAGAGCTCCTTGTGAAATCTTTGTCCAGTGAAGTACTGCCACCTTACCTATTTCTGCCACCAAGCAGTAATGTGAGCATTGCATTCCGGTTTTGAAGGGTAAGGGTGTTGGTGAACTTACCGACACATGGACTTGTCTGTTACATCTTGGGGTGATGGGCACAGTGGCAGTGCCTCTCAGATCTTTGCGATTTAAAACTCTACAACTGTTTTCGACAGGTATATAGTTTAGCACCAGTCACACTACTTATTTGTCCTGTCACTTTATATTATGAAAAAATAAGCACCAGTTTTATTGTTCTTTAGAACACAGTACCTGAAATAACTCCTCTAATTGCAATAGGCCTTGTATAACCACAAAACGGCTAGGTACAGTGCTTCAAATATATTATTTATTGCAAATTGTTCTACAGATGTTGAAAATGTTTAGATTGGATTAGTCATGGTCTTTGTCCTGCAGCACGGCCATATAGGAAATGTACAGATCATTCATTTTAAAACAATGAGTTGAATATCCTATAATTTATATAATATCCTAGGCTTCATAGTCTACAAAATGCACACAGGTAGTCAACTGCCCTTTTCCAGTGATATTATATTACCTCAATACAACATTGCACTGTCAAGGATGAATGTGGAGTTTGAGCCAACAATTATTAGTGTTGTTTGGCCTACGCTTCTCCTATCTCCATGCATTATAATAGTGTGCTAGACAGTATCCTCAAATACTATTATTATTTATTGATTATAATTTTTTTATTTATTGACTTACCTTTAGCAGATCTAGAAGGTACACAGCAAATATTACTAAGTTGGAGAGTAGAATTTTATTACTACATTTTGTATATAGGGTGTAATCGTTAAGTGTGTCCAGGCGATTATTACATAAATGTAATAAATATCAAAAAGCTTTAAATTGATATGGAAAGTATGTTACCTAATGGGTAAAAATCAATAAATTAAAAAAAATAAAACTAGAAATATACAAAATTTTAAATTAAATGCTCCCATACATTTAACATGACATTTATAGGGAGGCTTTAGTTGGCCTACCTTAAGAGATAACAATAAGTTTACAGATAATAAAACGGCTATAAATAAAGTACATAATAAAACTATATTTTAATTGAATATAAATATAATGGCACAGTCAATTATTTGGTCAAGTGTGAGTTGTCCATCAAAATGAATAAAAGTGATAAAATTTGTTTATTGCTGATTAAATCAGTTTTATTTAAGGATCATTTCATTGTATGGGACGAAAATAATCGGGACAATAGTTTTTTTATAATGTTAAGTGACGGGACGAATAAGTCGTGCGCCTGAGGGTAAGTTATACGCCAGTCCATAACAGTTGCAGTGCCACTCAGAGCTTTAAATCGCAAAGATCTGAGGGGCACTGCCATTGCGCCCGTTACCCTGAGCCTTACTTAAGTTGATAAGTCCCATGTGTCTGTATTCATCAGCATTACTGCGTTCCTTACCCTTCAAAACCGGAACACAGTAATGCGGACTTTACTGCTTGGCGGCAGAACTAGGTAAGGTGGCAGTACTACCCTAGAAGAGTTCATTTAACTTCAATTCAAGAAGAGTTCACTCTTTCACACGGAGCTCTACTGCTACATAAGTTAGTCAACCTCTGTGCCATCGAAGAGCATAACCATACCCCGTAATCTAAAATCGACTGCAGGTGGGGTACAGGGCTCGTATTTAAGAGGGAGCATGCCAAAAAAGTTTTAACGTTGGCTCCGCCCAAATTTGTGAAACAAATATATGCCTGAAGTTCGCGTGACATGCGACAGGAGATGTTGAATTTTGCGCATTAAAAGTACCAAATTCGTTTTAGCGGAATAACTCTAAACCTAAAGGGATTAAAAAAATCCGTAGTGACAGTTCTCGATCATGCATAAATATAATTAATTATCTAATTTTTGTCCTAATAACCTGTAGCATTTCGAGGATAAATCGAAAAAATGTGAAAATTAGAGGTCATTTCGTGATTTTTATCTAGGGAGGAAACTTTATTGTTTTATGTTTCTGTTTAATGTCTATGCTTGAATATATCGTGTAGTTACTCATACAATATTTTATTTTTAATTTTAAATTGGATATATCCCTCTAAAATCAAATAGAAGATTAGGTATTTTTCCTCTGCTCCCTCTTAAGTAAATTTACAAACAACTTGTATCTTAAGTATATTATATATTCCATTTTGGTCACGGTTGACAGGCGTATGGGTTAACACGCGTGCCCGGACTGAATTTCGCTTCTCCATTATTTTCTCACTGAGTTGAGTAAAATTGTGTCGTGTTTTGTGTTGAAGGTGGGTAAAAAATTAGCGTAGAGGTAAGTTCCCCTTATGAGGCAGAGCACTCTGATATCCTCATTCTGTATCTATCTCTCCGTCCGTTAGTTCAATGGAGATTAATGTCAGTGCTTAAAAGATTAAACGCCTTGCCTGCGTGGACATTGACAGCTCCGCTATAAAGACCATCCTACTACCGCTTCCTCCGTCTGCATCAGTACAACATACGTATACCCTGGAGGGATACGAAAATAGCTCTAATTTGAAATAAACGGACAACGGATCTGACTCCTTTCTCGTTCACGTCACTCGACAGAGAGCGACTTCTCTCGCACAAGCTCAGTGCTTTAAAAATCGCCCAACCCGTTTACAACAGCAAAGTGTCGGGAATTTTAGAAATAAAAACCATCGGTTGAGACAAAGTAGCAATTTACTTCCTAACACCCCAGAATGTAAACAAGTTTGTTGAGTGTCCCTTCCTTAGTACTCAAAAACTTTTCGCTGTAATCCCTCGCTTTCACTTTCAATGGTGTCGTTCTACAAATCCCCATGGAGCGGTCTCTCGAGGAATTGGTCCATTCCATCAAATGTCCCTCAGGGGTTAAAGTTATAAAGGCCAGGAGGCTAAATAAAAATCGAATAGTTGAGGGACAAGCTACTTGGGAGCCATCTGCAACTGTTGTATTAACACTTTTGGAACAGATCCTCCCGGAGAAAGTCTTTTGCTTTAACATGTTTCTTCCAGTGGACATGGAAATTCTGCCGCTATTGATATGTCCGTGAGTAATGCCGTTCACATCCTCGCTGTTCCCGATGTGCCCATAATCATGAGAACCCCTCCTGCACCATTCCAGATGAAGCAATATCTTACCTTTTTGTTCTGGCTCCTATAAAGATGCCGACACAAAGTGCCCTGAGCACTCTCGTCAAAAACTGATTAAAAAGTGATGGCTGAGTACAACATCGGTTACATAGAAGCTTTCAGACGATTCAACTCTGTCCGAAAATCATATGCTGACAAAGCATCCCTAACAAACCCCAAACACTTTGGTCCCTCCTTTGTACCTCTGTCCGCATATAGCCCCAGAATCCTTCCACGTGTATTACATGTACCTCAAAATCTTCGCAACCAAATGGATGTTATCTTCTTAATGACTCTTCAAATAATAATCTCCTTTATTTTACTAGTCCAAATGACAACCTGTCTGATATAATGCAGAGTATAATACTCTATATCTAGCAATATGGTTCAATATTACATCAACGAATATTTCAAATCTTACCTCGCCCATCCTCGTCAATCCAGACCATTTCCACCGAAGATGGGCTAGGAGAGAAATGAAATTTTGTCATGCAAATTTCAATCCTCGTCTCGCCTCGTCTCGCCTCGCCGGTGGAAAACCACCTTATGTGGATAACCTCGGGAATTGTAAGCTTTACCTACTACTCCACTCTTACTCTTACTCTACTACTTACTACACTCATGCTCACGAGATAAATAAATGTAGGCCATACAAATCTTTCTCCCGGCCCGGAAATTGAACCAGGGAGCTCTGCGTGGCTGCCCGGCATGGTAACCGTCCGGCCACATAAGCTGTAATGGTTTAAAGAAATTGATTCCTTACTTACTTCCCGCAAAAAAATATATACATAAAAAATTTATGTATGTTATGGTTTATTTTAGACACTTAAACACTTAAACAATATATTTAAAAATAAAACGGAAATAATAATTTAATATTTTTGAATAAAGATTATTTTGGCCAGAACTAGCTCACATAAAGTGTGTCCCATTTTGAGTTAAGTGGATATCTTTTGATTATTTCTTACAATATTCTAATGACGGTTTTTTTGACGTGTAGAGAATCGAAGCTTACGTTCAGGGGCCTTGCCATGAACTCTTATTTCGATTCAGTTTAGGACCTAAAATGAATCGTTGTGACACAGCGCTACATGAAGTGTATATCACCATCCTGCTTTTTTGTCGTTACCTAACCTATACTGAACTGTAATAAGAGTTCATGGTAAGGCCCCAGTAATGATATAATATTAAATTTCACATATTTTAAGTTACAACACTATTGTAATAGCAGTGCGATATATGCTAATTACACATATAATATGTTACGCGATAACTCCGGCAATTGTGAACCGATTTTGACGATTCTTTTTTTATTGGAAAGAGGGTACCTTAGTATTGGTCCCATTTAAATTTGAACAAAATATTCCACCTCTAAGGGTGGCTTACAAGGGATGAATCCGGTTTCGCGCACTTTCCGATTACTAATTTCAATAAAACTTGGCACATAAATGTAATTCCACGAATTTTTAAGCTCGATTTATAAGCTGTTTTAATTGATTTAAAATTACTTTGAATAATAGTGAAATGTTTGAATAGTATATTAATAATCTCACTCAGTAAATGGCACTAATGACCCATAATCAAGTTAGTGGTCAGTTGTAATTAGTGAATCATGGGTCAGTGTGAGGCTGGCCTCTGACCAGAAACAAAGTGTAATGGTTTTTAAAGGAATAAGAAGTTCATAATATTATTTATTTATACAATAAGTTGCCAATGAATTTTATAAAATAAACAATAAGTCAGGAAGTGTTTGGAGTTAATTCAAAATTCTGTTGGTGTGCTAACAACTTACTACTACAAACCGATTTATGTGACACTGATGGTCACGGAGCAGCTGACCATATCCGGGAGCGTAGTGTTGGTACTGGTACTTGGTGCAACGGGCTGGTATCCGCAACTCGACGACAAAGCGCCTATTTTGCGTAGTGTTACTAAAGGATAAAAAATTACATAAAAGATAGAAGTAATTTAAAGATGGATTTATTCAGTGCAGATGAATTTGAACTGACAGAGCTGTTAAATGGTAGGTTTGTATGTTGATTTTCCTAATTGCATACCATCTAAAGCAGGCAGCAAAGCATCTCATTTTTTTATGTGTAATTACCCCACTAGTTTGTTATCATTATTAATAGAAAGATCGAACACTTAGAAAAAATCCTTTGATCAGGCCAATTAGTAGAGTAATTTCACAAAAAAAAAATTGAATATCAATTCAATACAAATTTAAATACTAATAGCGACATTTCTAACCACGGCTGGTAGCTGTAAAGGTATCTAACTGAGTGACGAAATACTTAATATTTCTCATAGATGGCGCTATGGCTAAAAAGTCGTTGAAAAACCAAATACAAAGACACGACAACAAAAAGAAAAATTCGTGAGGTCCGCTCTTTCCGCTCTCGTTCCGTGGCTTAGTTGGTATAGCGTCTAGCGCGGTATGCTAGAAGACGTCGGTTTGATCCGGCCGGATCGAAGGAATTTTTTCGGAGTGTTGGATCTTTGTATTAATAATTATAACAAAAATGCATTTAGTTATGAATATGTTTAATTATTATTTTTGTCTAGGATTATATTATTATAAGTGTATTATGTTATTTTGTGTGTCGATTTTGGAGGGACATACACTCCTACTTCAGAAGGGACCGGTCAAAAGTTGGCCCGCAGGCCGTACTTTCTTCAACACAGATCTATAGCATCTCTTTAGTGTAATGAGGTACTTTAGTAAAGTGGCAGAGAGTAGTTTAATAAGGAAGGCGAAAGTTTGGACACGGTGATGAAATTTGGGAGGGAGGGGCTTTATTAAGCAGTGGATTGTAAAATTGAAATTTACTTATATACGTACAGTATCAGCAGAGCCGTTTGCGAAAGAGATCGTCAAGGGAAGTACTACTACCTTACCTATTTCAAGAATACAAGATATTTTTCGCTGAAAAATGTAGTCAACAATACAGGTTTTATAGTATATTATGTTAGATCGTACATTTCACAAAAAATTGGCTTGCGATTGTATTACACAATTCTCATGTCACTTTTAATGTAGCATGCGTTAAAGTTAAATTAATACAATAGCATAAACAAACGACAACAATTGGAATTTAACAGAAAAATAGGATGTCCTGAATAGTTAAATTTTGCGTTTTATTTTACCAAATCAATCATATCAAAACAGTGGGATTGGGTGGGCCACGTTAGCTGGATGCAACCTGTGAAGTGGGCGAACGTCGTCACTCCTTGGGTGCTCGAGGATAGAAAGAGACGGTGTGGACGGCCGAGGAGGCGTTGGCGGGACGATCTTGGTGGGTTTGAGAGAGAGTGGTGGGAGATCTCTAAAGAGCGCAATGGAGAATTTTGGGGGAGACCTTTGCAGCAGCAGGACATAATAGGTTAATAAAAAAAATCAAGTGAAAACTCATCAATATTGTAGTAGCATTGAGTAACTATCAAATGATGTAACTACGTTTTAAATTGTCTACAATTTAATTCTTTAACAGCATTCGGTAATTTATTAAATAATTTGGGAGCTAATACGAACATCGTTCTACTGTAAAAATCCAAATTAAGGCGTATTTCTACCGCTATTACTGCGTTTCGGTTTTAAAGCGTAAGGGTGCTGGTGAAATTATAGGTATGAAATTATAGCCTGGTGAAATTATGGGACTTGTCACCTCACATTTTTGCGACTTAAAACACTGAGCGGTACTGCGTGCTGCGTGGACATGCGTGTCGCACCAGGTGCTTTTTGAGTGATTTTTGTAAAACCCTTTTTTCTTTTGGTTTTAACGTCTTAAACGTACAAATAAGTTCAAACAGTGTCAATAATTATAAAATCACAGAAATATTTAAGTTAAATGCTACAAAAAACTATATTTTGAATAAGATAGCAGTAACACGAATGATTTTCTCATAAATTTAAAAGACTGCACAGTAATGAGAAATTATCATTACAACACACATTTTATCGTTCACAAAAGAACATTTGACATCATTTAACATGTAACAAATATTTTAATATAATTTCTTGTATCAAAATTCTTCTCATCCGTGTAAGACCATCTATCTATCCATATGTAATTAATAAATAATCTAAATAAGTATTTTGTTAATGTCATATAAACTTTGTTGTACATCAATATATCATCATCACCACCATCAACATCATCATCATGATCACCATTATCATCAGCATCATTACTATTCACATCATCATCACAATCATCGTCATTATCACTACAATCATCATTGCCATCATCACCACCATCATCATCGTCACCTCCGTCATCACCACCACTATCACCATCTAATTGTTATATTTCAAGTAAATATTTGGCTTAAAGTAACTATTTGACTTAAAAGTAGACAAGAATGAGAGCAACAATAATGATATTTGGGTACATTTTTAATTGTCAAGTGTGTAAAATATGCTGGACCGTTATAAAAGTGCATGGGTTTTAAAGTTCCCTTTGTGTGATTGATGTACAATAAAGTTTATAAAACTATTTCTTGATACTTATTTAGATAGATTGTTTTACATGAATGAGAACGGTTTAGTCACTATCTGATATTGGTATTTAAGTCGATTTTTTTGCTAAAACGGAGATGCACAGGTTACTTCACTGTGTACACTCCAATCCGACAGGAGCCCCTTCTCACGTAAGCGAAGGGTGATGGTGATGCTGTGTGAACTTTTGCTATTAGGAGGCTTTTAGTTGAAGTGACACTAATGATAAGAAAAATTTAAACACATTGTGTATTCACAAGAAAACATGTTTGTTTATAATAAATTGGAAAGTTGCGGTATGTATTCAACGTGAAAGTTATTGAGTTTATCCTCGATGGGAAATGTTGCGATTTCCACGAGTGTTTAATTTTTTTTCTTCTTTTCTTAAAATTAGGGCGACGTGGAACCGGCTCCCATGAATGAGAAATTGCCCACTTTTTAAACTTTTATTTATTACTGTGACGTAGTAAAGTAGTCTTTTTATGTGTAACACAGACTAAGTAAGCAAGCAATCATATTAAATAAATAATGCTTAGCATTCATGTAATAACATAAAAGTTATTGTAAGGGACACATTTTTGGAGGTTATCTGAAAACGACCCGTGCACGACTTGTTCGCCTATTAATAATAATAGTTCTTTTTAAAGCTGCCGACAACACAGCGAGGGTCTTTCGTTGATGATTACCATTATTCTTTTCAGACACAATACGTCACCGGCGAGCAAACTCGGAGCACAATATGTTAATGGAAGAAGTGGCAGAGGTGGAAAGTGGCGATACAACGGATGCGCAGGCAAACATCATCGTTCGGGAGATGGAACAGCATCATCAGTTGATGGAGGATAATCCGGAGGCTGAAGAGCGCAGAAGGTATGAAATATTCTGCGGTTTTTGTATAGACAAAAATTCTCACATATAAAAATCGTCATCATTTAGCGAACAAAAAAAGTCAGGATATAAAGCAGTGATGTTTACATTCAAATAAACAAGAATTAGGTATGAAGTAGCGATTAAATTAAGATCTTTTGACATCTACTTAGTTCAGCCTACTGTTGGAGAAGAAGAAGAAGAATGAATCTAGGGCAGGGGCCGGGTCACTTAAGATTCTACAAGATATCGATGATTATAGTCTGTTAACACAGGAGAACTCGGAGACTTAGGAGCTGTTTAATGATACGGGCTTAGAATGTAAGCGCTGTAACTACATACTTACTTCAATTCCAGGGAAGCTCTAAGAGATCTAGCTCAAGGTTTAACAATGAAGAGACACGTACGTGCCAAACTGTCAGCCTCTGTCAGCCTGCGTTCGAAGCGAAAACCCATCTCCATGTGGAAGCGGTTGAAGTATAGAATCAGTTTTGGGATAAAAAGGGTAAGTTTTTGTGTCTTATTTGTTACCATTATTGGGGTTTGTCTCATTTTTGGTGTACTTTTTTTTACTGACCACTCTGTTTAGTTTTACACTTGCTTTATTAAGATTGAAATATTTGATCGATTTTATTATTTCTCATGAATGGGTTGGTTTTGTATGCCTTTGTATTGAGAGTTGCGTAGATGTTTTTAATTTTGTTTTTTTGGAAAAAACAGTTTACAATTTGTATACATGATAAATTGTACAAAAAAACTTATCACTTAAACTAACAAAGTTTCCACTAATAAATATTACTTAAAAAAAGAGCGAATAGCTTCTTGGTATTTTTGTAAACACAATGAAAATAATAAAAAAGAAACATAAAAAGAAATAAACTAAAAACAAACAACATCAATTATTGTTTATAAATGGACTTAACAAATTTTAGAAATAAAATGGACAAATAAAACATATCTACATCTAAATGACTCTTATTATTTATTCGGTTGTGATAAAGTACATTTCACTTTTACTTTAGCAGTTGCTTATTAAAAGTGATCGGAATAAGGAGCGCTTTTTTTAAACCTACTTCGAGGAATATAGATAGAAAATGAAGACTGTATTATGACAATATTTTTTAGGTCCTGAACCTTTTCGGGATTTGAGAAACACAAAATCGAGTAAGAAAGTTAAAACGTATGCTTTAACTTTCTTTCTTATTACAGAGTCGAGGCGATAGTTTTAAGATCCCGAAGGAATGTCCATAAATCAACAGTACGTTTGAAATACACATCTTAATAATTCAATTAAGTAAGACATTTTTTGACAAAATATTCCTAAATATTCGGAAAAATACAGTCTACCTAGGTAGGTAAAATAGACGTTATTTGGCGTAGGTACGCCAAATAACGTCAATTTTTAACGTACTTAAGAGATTTCTTTAATCCCGAAAAGATCCAGGTCTTAAAAAAATATTGTCTTGGGAGTCTCCACTTTCTGACTCTGTTCCTCGAAAAAACTCTACCTATTCTGATCACTGCTTATTAAGCATAATTATTATTTAGTGCTTATTTTATGAATTATATTTGTCTTATTATCCTTGTTATATTTTCTAGAGCCGTGAACGCTTCCGCGACTTTATCTTCTCCATCGAACTCTGGTATGAAGCCATCCGTGCTATTGAAGGCAACTTCGGTTCCGCCGTTGGTTCCTACTTCCACCTGCTGCGTTGGTTGTTCGCCGCTGACGCTTTGCTGGCTGTTTTGGTGGTGTTATTCATCGTTTTGCCTCAGGCATTGCACAATGACGTTGCGAAGCACACTACTGGAGGAGGTTGGGGATTTATGGCCTTTATTAGTGGGACTGTAAGTACAAGTTACTAAAAAAAAGTTATTTTCGACATTAATCTCGACATTAACCACCATTAATGGTATACTGTGACCCTTTTGACTTTTAACCTGTATCTATTTTGATTCACAAATTGGATTTACTGGGAATCTAATCTGGTGTAGCCCATATGGTGTAACCGCTAAACCTCTCAGCTCTTATTTATCCGTTTCAATTTGCGAGAAAGAAAGAGAGCCGTCTATAACAAATTATTTAAATTGATCAATTTTAACTCAAGTGAGCTCAATGAGAATTTGATGGAGAAAATGTTTTTGTGTTGCAGGGTGCATATGCTGACTCTCTGCTGTTCTACGGCCATTATCATGACGGTGATATATCGACCTCTAGTCCGTTGACCTACAATATGCCATTTGCTTATTTCTTCACTATGGTTTGTCTGTATTTGGCTATATTCGGCGTTCTTTGCTTCAGGTTAGTAGCATAACATTTAAATTTTAACCTACAGTAAACGATGTTTTCGTAAGGCCCTAGAAACTACGTATGTACGTGTTTTGATTGGTACTTTGCTGTTTTTAGAACCGCATATTCTTATCGCCGCAATTTCATCGAGACAGCAGGTGGCTTACATCATGTGTTCGCTAGCAAAGTGTTTTGTGGGTGGGACTTTGGCATAGTAGCGGAACACGCCGCCTCTCTTAATGCTACTAGCATTTATAATGAATTAAAGGTGAGGTGAAATAACATATTTCATATTGATTTATCTAAGGCTTTTAATAATGTGCCTCTAGTCAGCTTTTCGAATAATCCATAAAATTTTATCAAGTTCTAATGGAAATATGAACTTATTTAAATATTCTTAAATGAATCCAACATCTAGGTGTAAATACTGCTTTGTAATTCCAATGTACTATAAATAAATCACTATTGTATATTAGTGTTCCACGAGGACCTATGTTGCGCCCATATTAGTTAACTGTTTATTGGAAGACGTTGTAAGTGATTGATAGGTACTTAGTTTTCCTTATTCAGAGGTGAACTTAAAATAAGCTGTAAATTGTTTCAGGAACTCTTAAACGAACGGAACAAACACAAAGATGAAATTTCACTATGCACAAAAATAGCGCAAAAGTTAACAAATATCATCGTAACGTGTTTCGTATTGGCCATAATCGTGGGACTAGAATGGGGGTTCTGGAAGTTACTGAGTGTCGGTTTAATTGCACCGCATTGGGAGGTCGTAGTGTCAGTGACAGTGGTGTTCTCTGTTGCTCTGTTACCAGTGGTATTTAGTGCCATTGTTCGGTGAGAATCTTTCTTTCATTTATAATTTTTAAACGCGTTCTTATCAGTGTCTCAATCTTAGCGACATACTATTTTGAGCTTTGTCAAAGAAGTTCTTCGACAGTGGTCGCCTACGTTGGCCCCTTACCTATAGGAATATAATAAAGAAAATCTTCATTACAACGTCATATAATTTATACTTAGTTATGATGTAAATAAGCTCTCTCGCCTTTTATTTTTAAAATTATCTTCCATTTTGGTTTATTATCCTGTGTTTCGATTTCCAGATTAGAGTACTACAAACCTCGTACAGCTTTATACGTAACACTAGCAAGAACTTGGCTTCTTGATGTTGGAACCTTAATGTTGCTGTTTTATTATTGGACTCAGTCGGGCAAAGATGTGAGTTATGTGTTTTAAAATTAATGTGTCCTCAATAAGCATTACACGGTCTGCAGGTAACATTTTCGCCCAATCATACATCCGTATTTCGCGGGGTGAGGCGCTAGAAAGCCCATGATTGGTCGAGATTGACCACTCATATTTCTCAAGTTGTGAGGTGCGTGCATTGTTTGTGATATTTTGACAACGCCGAGACGTTTCGAGTACGAAATATACCACATATTTAATTTTATTTAATCAAAAACACAAAACCAAAGTTTGCAGACCCGTGATACCTATTCCTAAAGTGTGACTTCGTATTTGGGTTTACATACCTGGTTCCCTTTAAACTTGCCGTGAATGTCGAATGCGTGTGATACCACCGGTATTTACTGACTTTCCCCACAGATCTTGCAATGATGAAAAAAGGTCCATTATTTGTTTACCATGGTTTATTCTAGATCCATTTGTTTGATAAATTTTAATTTCATTTTATTTTGATAGTGTTGGGAGACATCGTTCGGGCAAGAAGCATATCGACTTGTTTTGCTAGATTCCTTGATTTCCTTGTTTCTCTTGCCGCTCTTTGAAATCGTCAGAGGCATGCTTTTTAAGTGAGTTTTATTTTGTAATTTATTTCATTTTTTAAGTTACTTTTTTCGGTTAATATTATTTTGACTTATAATATCTGTTTTAATAAAACTTATTATATTTGTAAAATTACCTTTGAGAATCTTGAACTAAGATGAAATCTTCTGCCCCATTTCTTACTGCTAACAATTAAATTAAACCACCAAACCAAAGTTGAACTCATTGTTAACGCACAGGTTATACAAAGTGGGCAGTCCTCCCGAGTTCTACATAGCCTACAACTCGCTAACGTTAATATACAACCAAGCGGTTCTATCATTCGGACTGATGTTCTCTCCTCTGTTGGTGGTTTGCGTGACGCTGAAGCTGTTACTGCTGTTCTACGTGAAGCAGCAGTGCGCGTTGAGGGCTTGCCAGCCTGCTGGGAAGGTCAGTAAGACGCCATTATACACTACGTATTATTTTTGAAAGACCAAGCTTCGGATTATTCTAGTGTAACGGAATTTCACTGTAATATGTATCTGACTCGACTCCAACCAGCGTATGTTGCCATGCCTGGGCCACCGCTATTATCAACTGCTATAGACTGATTCCCAAGATGGCCTCGGCATGGCACATGCTGGTTCGAAGCCAGACGGACCGTGGGGACTTTTCTTTATATTGTTTGATCTTTGTGTCAGTAATAACAAACTAGCGTGTAAAAGAATTTTCACAAAAAGTAAATGAATGTCTTGGTTAAATATCTTGGTTATATAATCAATAAATAAATATATAAATGGAGATTAATTGTATTTGTAAAAATGAGTTATGTGTGCGTGTATTTTGATGTTAGTGCGTAGGTTTCATGAATGAAATAGAAGCCGGTAACAGGCCGGCTTGAAACGCATTTTGATTGGATGAGATACATCGGGAAGCAATACAGTATTATATGGTATTATCAGGGACAGTTTTCTACGTATGCGATTATTATTGTATATTTTGAGTATATTTTTTTTTAAATGGAAGGGTATGCCCGCTGTCTAGTCCAACTAGTCTAGATAAGCAAGGCGATAGGAATCGACTTATATCAATGCCTCTTCTGTAACTGAGAGAATTAACTAGTTTTAAAGTAGTTAATTAGATCTAGTTGTTTCACGCATTATTACTATTAATTCATAATAAAAAAACGCGGAAAGTTATACAAAATTATATTAATTCCTTTTTCAGATCTGGCGAGCCTCACAAACACATACGGTGCTATACATGCTAGTGACTCTGTCTTTGTTTACTACTTTGTTTGGATTTGGTTCTTTGTTCTTCAAGTAAGTACCATACCTATATTTCTTATGATATCAAGTGCCAGGCGGAACTAGTCGTGCGCCTGGTGATAAGCGACACGCCTGTTCATAGCAGTTGCAGTGCCACTCAGAGCTTTAAATTGCGAAGATCTGAGATTATTAGATATATTATAAGATTGTGTTTACAGACTTATACGAAAATTGACATTTAACGGGAATTATTGAATAGGAAATATAATGGGATTTATAATATCTATATATCCCTATGATTGTTCAAATATATATTTTTTAGAGATTATTGGATGTAAGATTTTGAACTGCTTACACCGGTCACAAAAAGAAGATCATGTCTGTGTGATAAGAGCGCAAAAGACATGCTTTTCGTATCAGCGGTTCATAAGGAACCAAACGCACAACGTCTCTTTCTCTCTTATGGAAGTGACGTAAAACTTTTTCTGGGCCGGTAAACCGATTCCGCTTTAACAATAGTGGTGGCGTTGCTTTTCGTTAAAATTCAAAAGAAATTAATAATATAAAACATCAAATCAAATAAATCTTTTGTTTATAATTTTATTTATTTATTTATTCATAGAAAACTAACAGCTTCTTACATTTAATAAAAGCAGGAAAAGAAACAAGCCCAATTACAGGTTTCCACCTATAGCTTCAGACAAATAAAACACGAGCAGTAAACAAACGAACAATAAACAGTATTTATTAACGTGTTGTTACCAAATACTGTTTGTTGCACTTACATAAATATAACAACCCGATACCTGCGCTAATCACATATTATTCTAGAAAATTAAATAGAACACTTACGTTACTGTTTTATGTTGCCACTGTAATTTGAGGTGCAATAAAGAGTATTACATTCATTCATTCGGTCGTCAAATAAAAATGTCTAATGAGGAAATTAAATAAATAAAGAAATACAGTTGTGCAAGCGTTCTATCAGCTAGGTCATCAGGATTATTGCATTTCTGTCCAGGATATCCTCCCAAAAATGTGGCCCCTTCCGCGAGTACAAGTACGTGTACGAAGTGCTGAGCGAAGGGGTCTTGGGCCTGTCAAACCACGCGATGCTGCACAGGATGCTAGCGTTCACTACCAGACCGGGGGTCATTGCGTTTGTTATACTCTCTTTGGGGTAAGTTATTGTCTGTATTAAATTAAAATTATGAAAATTTATTTCTGGGTAAAGTTATTTTGTATCGTAGTCATTTTCATAGAATAAAATCTGATCGTTTATTTTATATTGTCAATTCCGTAATATTATAATTTTAAAAGTAATGGTATTCTACCACCTCTAAAGCACAAGAACAACAAAAAAAAATTACCATAGCTTTTCGGTGACGGAAAACATCATCCTGCACGTCAAACAATGTTCACAACCCTCGGAAAACGTGTGAAATCGCCCATCCACATTGGGCCAGCGTGGCGGACTATGGCCTAAACCCTCGTCTGAAAGAAGACCCGTGCCCAGCAGTGGGACGTATAAATGAGTTGATAAAAACATTACAGTTTAGAATATAATTTCAAGGGATAATACGATTATCACTAATGTAAACAATAATAGTTAATATGACACAAAACAGAACTTTGCTAGCCACAGATGTTATTCTATGAAGACGGGTTATGTTGGCCCAATGAGGATCTCCTTCGACTGTTATGCACTTTTTTCACGACGTTCCAGAGGTTAAAACGTAGAAGAAGACACGAGGAACACTTGTGAGAAATATCATAATTAAAAATAACAAAATACTGTTACAATACAACGATGTCTAAAAAACAAATTAAATTACAATTTCTTTGGAAAATATTCCTTACCTTAAAATATTATGATTGATTGTCGATTGTGTTTAGAAAATTTGACAGTTTATTTTACGGTTTTTAACATCTAGACGATCGAGTCAGTGTGCATTGTTCTTTAGAACTAAAAGATAGCCTACATTTTCTTCGTTTTGACGTGTAGCGTGGCAGTGTACTACATGCGTGCGAAAGCCCTTGCGCAAAACTCGATGGTGCAGATACTGCGGCAGATGCTCGTTCTGCAGGCCAAGGATAAAGACTTCCTGCTCGCTGCCATCGCCAAGGTCTCCAATGGAGGTTAGTTCATTTTCTTAATTTTGTGCTATACATGTCCTTCCTTGGTGACAACAAATTCGTTTCTCGTGAGTTCCATTTGGGCATTATATTTGTTTCAAGTTTGTTATAATTCTTTTATATCAATTTTTATTCTTTATTTTTATAATACCAAGTGATGGGACGAACAAGTCATACGTCTGTTGGTAAGCGACACGCCTATTCATAACAGTTGCAGTGCCACTCAGATCTTTAAATCGCAAAGATCTGAGGGGCACTGCCACTGCACCCGTCACCCTGAGACATAAGTTGTCAAGTCCCATGTGGCTGTTACCCTTCCAAACCGAACGCATTTATGCTAACATTACTGCTTGGCGGCAGAATCTTTCACTAGGAGCTCTACTGCTACTAAATAAATAAAATAATAAATAGTACGTCTTGCGGGGAGATTCCGTTCGTGATCCCCATTTTTTTAACTGGGACAATATGAAGAAATCGGAGACCATACGAGATATTAGGAAACCTGTCCCACCATCCTATTTAAGAGCCGGACTCTTGTCGATGTAGCCTCTTCTACTCCTCACGGTTCATAGCCAGTTCCTTGACCTCTTTATAGCCGCTTAGTCTTTCTCTCTTTCTTTTCCCTTCTATTTTCTCCGCCCTTCGTCATTACGTAACAAATGTCCAAACATTTTCCCCTTCTTTCTATTGCATTCAAAACACTTCTCTCCTCCCCAACCCTTTCCAAAACTTCCTCATTTTTCTACCTTCCTTTTATACTTAGGACCCATTAGGTCTTTTTTATGAAAACAAATTTGACATTGTCAATTAAATAACCAAATGGCCAAGCGTGAGTTATCCATAAAAATGAATAACATTGACTTTTTTGATACTGATCGACTCAGTTTCTTGTAAGGATAAAAAAATCGGGACAGCAGACAGACAAACAGCAGTTGGTCCAATTCAATAATGTTTTTTCATGCAGTTTGTTGTCCTCCATCCGAATATCAGTATCTTCATATGTGCTTGTTGACCAGGGGGCCTACCATAACCTTTCCAAAAACAATCTTATTTCAATGTAAGCTTAAAGTAAGCTTATTGTAATATTACTCATTCTCGTACCATGACGAATCTGTCAACCAAGTAATGTATTATTGCTAAAGTGATTGAAGGAACGAATGATTTCCCAATATTGTCTATTCCTTACTAAAAATAGGAAAGAGATAACGCTATGTGAACTATATAATGCCATCTCTTTCTTTTTTGATGTTCCGAATCATCTCATCTTAGCATAATGTTTAAGTACTTAATGTTAAAGTCGCGTCATAGTACGAACTGAGTGAATGAATAGTCACAAAGCCGCCAATAAAACATCATAGTTTTAACATTACAATAAGCTTACTTTGAGCGCGTCATGGTACGAAAAGTCAATGTAAGGTTAAAGTAGTATTGTTTTAAGAGGTTGTGATAGGCCCCCAGGCCTTCTTTAAAGGATATCGTTTACCTGCTTGAGATACAGATCTCAAGCAGATTAATGATGTCTGCGGTTTTCATATTCATGTAAACTTTACATTTAAATTTCGCGCTGTTTGCAATGTCAAATATATCAATCACGAAGATAAACACTACGAACCAGTTTTGACCCGCTTACCAACTCAAGAAGGCAGAGATGTCCAGTGTTCTCTGAAATACTCAAAATAATCAAAATCCTATTATACCGTCAAACTTCTGTGTTAAATACATATATCAAGGGCAGTGAATTTGCCCTTAAAACCGCGCCCGACTAACTATAATATCCTCGCATTGGTGTCAGTCAAGATTGCAACAGGTGGTGGTGGCTTCTGCCATAATCCTACAGGTCCTGGCTTCATCAGCTTAAGGTATGTGGTGCTTGATTCAGTGTTTGGCGGTGATATTGCAAACCTGTACGGTTTCTTGTTTCTTAAAACATACATGTAGATGTGTGGGATATTGTCCATAAAGGCCAAGGTAGACTTTTCTCATTTTCCCACGATGTTGTGAATTTATAACATTTGTGTCCCTCAGAATGGCTATACAGCCCGAAGCCGGAAGACGAGGGCCCTGACAGCCACACGTGGAAGTTCCTCAATGAGGTTCGGAGACCTTCCAATGCTGGGTACCACTTTGACGCCAGTCGACTTAGTCAGGTAAATTAACATCTACAATATATATTTACACTGATTTGCTTTTCGGGGTTCAGTCGAGTCAGGTTAAAAATAACAACTTTTAGTGACGTCAAAACTGTAGCGCCGTAATTTCAAGGTCAAATAATAATAAGCGGCAGTACTGTACTATGAGTACCAGACAAATTGACTTCAGCTAGAACACAGCCACTTTAGAAACTTGCTACCGGGAATGGAATCCAGAGCCTCCTCATTTTTCGCCCCGAACGAATGTTAGCAGCAGTGCTGCCGAGGACCTCAAAAAATTCATTAATGTATCGAGGCGTTACCCCAAAAATATACACGATACGTGTTTCGCCTTTCTACGAGGCATTTTAAGACATAGTTGATTGTTCGACGCTCTCGAGTAATCATAAAACAATTATTAAATTTTTCGTAAAAGCTGTCATCTTTAGTCTTTCTCCCCTTTTACTGTCGTTGACAATTATATTTAGCTATCCAGGCTCACTGTTAACTTAGCATGCATTGTTTGCAGTTAATGCGTGAAGTCGTAATCAACTTTATGCAGCCGAGACCACGACTGCATGAAGTTGATATACTCTAACTGAAGTCGTTGTCAACGTCATGCAGTCGAGGTCTCGGCTCCACGCATTAGTTGCAAACATGCAGGCAATCTGTTTGCAGCCTTACTTATGTCTTTGTGTGAACATAATAATATTAAGTTAATATTAATTCTTAAGAAATCAAGAACCAGTTTAAAATTCCCAGGGGCGTCCCCGTTCGTACGTTCGCGAGAACAGCAGACATAGTACGCATTTGGAGCGACCAAAGTCCAGCGATGGGGAAACAGACAGCTCGTTCAGCTGGAAGGGGTCCAGCAACTGCTTGAACCAGAAGGGAGAAGCTGAGGAGGTGAAAAAGTGGATATAGAACACACTCGCCTGTTTACTTCCATAGGGCCATAACGCACACACTATACAACGTAATAGTACGTTGTGTAAAGGGGGGAAATAAGAAATTATTAATGAGAGTTTCTTAGAACAGACAGTAATTTTTACCGCCCGTGCTACATACTACATACATACGTAATGTTTTTCATCACGTAAGCGAGGAAATAGATACAACGATAATTTATTTCTTGTATGATTAAATGTCGCTTCACAACACATCATTTACAGATTTTGGAAATGGCGTGTTTTGTTTTTTTAAACAGATTGCAAGCTATTCTTCCAGAGATAAAATAACTCGAACTAACATGTTATAAAAGGCACAGGCGCAAGCAACTACAATAATAGATATAAAATAAATAATTTCCAAATTCTAAAAATAATATGGAATTTGAATTCGCAAAATAAATTTAGTAAAAATATAATAAAATTGCAAATGTTTAATTTTTTTATTCTTCAAGTTTATGCGAAATATACGGTCTAGTTTTTCGAAAGTTTTTCGAGCATAAAAACTTGACATAAAAACATATAACAAACAATAGGGCGATAATGTAATTAAAAAGAACGTATTTTAGGACATTACGGTCGAGTACGTTATGACACTGTTTACGAGCAAGTGTGATGGAAAATGTAATATTAACCAGTGAAAAATTAAAAGCACACATTATCTTACGTCAAGGGTACGTCAAACTTGACACTTTAGTTTTGGAGTTGTTCTTATCACCAGAGGCTTGAATTTAAATGTCTAGCGTGACGTGTCCTTCACGCTGTATTTACAAACCAATGGCAACGGGGCCTTGTAAAGCGATTCTTGTTGGCTTGCCGAGGAAATTGGTTAATCTATACTCAGCCTTTTTTGAAGACGGAGTAAAATGACATTTGTAGGGTTACCAGTTTTCATAAAATTTTAAATAGTTATGCAGTGGTGTATTAATGTTGTCGATAGTTTTGTCGATAGATTGCGAAAGAAGATCAAATTTTGCCAAAAATGACTTGATCGTAACTGTTCCGACGTTCTAATATATTTGCATTTTATAATTGTATTATTTTCTCTTTATTCTTACTTACATTCATATACGTTTTAACAAGAATAGCCGGATTTGATTATCTATATTAAATTAAAATCCTTTAAAATATGTCTCCTCTTTGCATTTTTCATAAACATAATTCTAAATACAGTGTGTATGTATGAACTTACAAAAAATTACAATTCAAATGAACTTGTGCTCCGTGTTTTGATGAATAATGGGTAAACGACGATTCAAATGCAACAAGTTCGGCTATTTACTCCATAAGCGTGACCAATATTCAGTCGATTGTCGATAGAATATTTATCGACTGTAATCACTAGCTGCTCGCAA